TTATTAATATTTTTTTTTCTCTACTCAGTACATGATTCATTACTAAGTCATTCTGCCAGAGACAACTAGAAATTAATAAATGAACCTGATTGTCAAACATGAGTAATACTAACTGTTCTAGTTATTATCTAAGTTGACAGTGGTTGAAAGTAAAGATTCAAAAATACATGGAAATAGATTCTTCTGGAATAATATGGTGCTGTATTAATAGGAACATCAGATTTTATATTTTAAATTTCCTTTTCATGACATCCCCTGAAACAACCTTGCTGTCCATTTACCTCACATTCTAACGTAAAAGCTTTCTCTCAACTCTAAATTATTTTTTTAAACATCAGCCTACTATTGCTTGCAAAGATAAACTTTCTGATATGCCCTGAATTTCTTAAACTAAGTGTAGTATCCATAATATATGCAGAAATGTAAATTAGGTGCTTTTTTGTTTTTTAATGTTGGACTGATGAAAAAAGGAATGCGTGAATTGTGGGCAAAGAAAATTAGGAGGAAAAAAGACAGGTCTCTCCTATTTTCCCCAACCAAGAAGTCATATGGCAATTGTGTAGTTGCATAATTAATAATTTTCTGATTCTTTGATAACATTGGAACTTTTGTGTGAATGTTCACATAGAGAAAATCTACCCTTTAATTACCTTTACTGGATTTTCTAGCCATTATTTACATCTGTCATGGGAAAAATCTGTTATAGACTGCTGGAGATGTTGTCAGTGAGTTATACAGACCACACAGCTTTACAAGTGACAGGTTTGTCAGTATCATTTGAAGTTGGGCAGTATCTAAGACATTAAATAGAATAAATAAATAAATAGAGTATGTTTTTATGTTAGCCTAGGCTAATGTATGTATGCCATCAATGATGATATTTCTAACAGAAGAAGAGCGTCATTCCAAATTTTCTGAGCAAAATGTAAGGCTGTGTGTGCTACGCGAGAGACCTTACTTTTAATGGAACAATTTTATGATCCGTTCACTAAGGTTCTTAATAATCTAATTTCACAATAATCTAATTTCACAAGAGCATCAACCTACTTCTTATTCGGTGTTTTCTTTACCAACTTCTTACAAGCTTCTAGTGGATTCAGAAAGGGGAACACTGGTGGTTTCACTTACAGCATAAGGGATTTTAGTCACAGCATAGTTCTTGGTCATTTAAGTGAATAAAAAGTTAGGTTTTACAATGTGCACTTAAGTTCCTATAATAATCTTTTAGGAATAAATGGGAAAGAGAAAGCATGTGGAGCCAGACAAATGTGTTAGAGGAGGATTATTGTAGCCTGAGTCCTTTCTGAGAAACTGAAAGAGGAGGTCCCTTATCTACTTGAAAAAGTATGTCATAAGCATTCAAGTTAAATTTTAATCAGTTATCATTTGCTAACTCAATAGTAAGAAAGCTGATTTCTAGTTCCGAGCAGTGGTAAAAAATTGCAAATCTATCCATAATGAGATCCTGTAAAAGCCTTTAAAAAGTTAATTAGAAGGAATTTCTGTAAAACTTTAAATGTGCTTGTATTCTGCGTCAATTACATGACCAAATGCATTTCTTCATCATAGCTAGGGACTAAAGTTTCATTAACATTTGGAGAGATTATATATTTTTTCCTATTTCTGTAGAGTGGAAAATGTACTAATTACAGTTAGATGGAAGGTTTTGATGTTGCCAAAATACCCAGTAAGGGAAGAATTGGGCATTCTTACATCTATGCAATATTTCACTTACTAAATGTAGCATTCAGTATTTTAGCTAATTCCTTCTGTCTTCAGTGGACAGAGTCTCTGTCTCTCTCTTTGCCTTCCTTCATTTTTGTGAGGAAATTGAACCAATCTAAACAGTATTAGACCAGTTTTCTTGATCGATTTTTAGAAAATTTTTTCGTTATGGACCCTGAGGTAAGGTGCGGCCAGACATGCTAGTGGAAAAACTCCTTGGTATATTTGGGTTATTTTAACAGCTGTCTGTACGTAGATGAGTACCAATAAAGTACAAGAATAGTTGTCTCAAATGATGGCTGGCCTTGCTTGTAAGAAGTGTGATCAAGATGATGGTCAAGATGATGGACAGGTCTGCCAAGAACTAAGATGCCATTTCCTTGGGAGTCCTGCCTGGACTGATTTTGAATAAAACGTTTTCTGTTCACACACCATTTTGTCTTTGCATTTTCATCTACATGGGGAAAATTCTGGCTGAAACCTCCATGCTACCCTAAAGCCTCTCATGTGGGGGTGTTCACATTGTTCCAGGTGTGCCAGCAGTGCGCAGCCTGGTTCTGTATGAAAACCATTTTAAGAAGACAAAATTGTGCATATCCATTCATATTCTGAGTTTTGTCCTGACGTTATTAAGGGAATTTAACAGTATCTTAAATAAGAGAAGTGTTCTAGTCTATTATGTTCTCTTTTCCATTTTAATTAAGTAATTCTGGTAAAGTGGCACGTCCTACTTAGAGATAAACATACCTTCTTTCCAGCCAGTCCAGAGCAGCACATTGTTTAATTACAGTTAGATGCGCTTGAAAAAGTACTCAGTCATGGAGGAAGAGTACTTGGAAAAAAGGCAGGATTGAGTTGTCACATTGGAAAAATTCCCACAAGGAAATGAGTCATTGGCCTATCCTAGTGTTTTGCACAATCGTTGTCGCTGTGGGTGAGGGGGATTGTCTGTACCTGTGAGTTGGTACAAATGTTTGAGTTTCAGGTAATGACTGGACTCCAGGTCTTTTGTAATTCAAGCAGAGCATGCCAAAGTATGAATTTGCATGCTTTAAATAAGTAACGGTGATAAAAATAGCAGCTTAGTGATGGAGTTAAAAAAAAAAAAATCCCTAGAGGTAACAAGTTAATTTGTTCAGTTAGTATGAGTGATGGCTTCCAAGTTTTATTGTATGGCAAGGAATCATTTGAGCTTTGGCCATGTTGGTACGTGGTCACAGTAGATGGGCTGCCTCCCATCCTCCTTGCAGCAAGTTAATGATAGTAAATGTTACAGTTTGTAAAAGGTGTTAATTGGTGGTTGTTTCTGCAGACCTCCGCTGCAGAAATAACCATGCATCATTTACTGTCAAGTTGTTACTTTTTATTTACAGTATTTTTGTTCTCTCACTGATAGTATGTCGTAATCCTTAAATTGGTTTGTGTTCTTCCTATGCAGTTTGCTGGTGTTTGCATACTAGTCTGGGGTGTTGGTAAAATTTTTCAGAGGTTACAATGAATCCCTAACTAACTAGGCTATTGAAGACTGATTGCTGAGAAGTTTTCTTAAAAAAGAAGTCTCTTTACATGTCCTGGGTAAAACTGGAATTAGCATGAATATCCTTTCCATCAAATTGATCGTAGGTGCTGTCATATATGTGGACGTGAAGAGAAAAATAAAAGTTAAGTAAATCTAGATATCTGATGCAGATGACAACAAGAAATTTCAGAAGTCCATATAGATAAATACCTAAACGTGTAAAAACCCACTCTCTGGTGATCAGAATTCCGTACTTTCTCTAAGAAGTTTAATTAAGGGCTTTTTGTAAATTAGTAGTTTTGCCAGCAGCTTAAAAAAATTGGTGGGTGTTTTGGTTTTTTTTAGATTTGTTTGTTTTTTTGTTTTGTTTTGAATAACTGTGATACTCCTTTGCCAGAAGTGTAGTATCATCCTTGGAGAGAGCAGAAGCCTATTTTTAATTTGTTTTTCCATTTCTGTAAAACACTCTGTAGGTACCTTATCAGGTTACACTGAGGCTTCAGTTATTGAAGTTTGAAAACTGCTCTAGTTTTAGAGTTTGTTTCAGCAGAAGTGGCTCACAGTATAATCTGTTCAATTTTTCTAAACGAGGAAAACAGTGTCAGTACGTGTTCCAGATTCACACAATAATATTTTAAAATATATTACCAAATACATAATTTATTTATTGAAAACCTGTAAGTTATAAGCTAACAAACCCTATCAGGTAACTTAGAAAAATATTGCTATGGGAAAAGTTGATTGGTTGTATTCTTACTTCTCATCACATTGTTTTGTATGTTGACTCTCTTGTAGCCTCTTTCATTATGGTCAGAATAAAACTGAAGGGAGATATTTAAAGGAAAATTTTGGCTTCCTTGCTATTAACTGTGCTGGCTTTTTTGCTGTTGGGTAGAATCACAGAATAGTTTGTGTTGGCAGGGACCTTTAAAGATCATCTAGTCCAACCCCCCTGCCATGGTCAGGGACACCTCCCACCAGACCAGGTTGCTCAAAGCCCCATCCAGCCTGGCCTTGAACACTTCCAGGGATGAAGCATCCACAACTTCTCTGGGCAACCTGTTCCAGCATCTCACCATCCTAACTGTAAAAAATTTCTTCCTCGTATCTAGTGTAAATCTACCTTCTTTTAGATTTAAGCCATTACGTCTTGTCCTGTCATTACAGGCCCTGGTAAAAAGTCTGTCTCCTTCTTTCTTATAAGGCCCCTTTCTTTACTGAAAGGCCTCAATAAGGTCTCCCCAGAGTCTTCTCCTCTCCAGACTGAACAACCCCAACACTCTCAGCCTTTCTTTGTAGGAGAGGTGTTCTGAGGTGCTCAGAGGTGCACTGATCATTTTCATGGCCCTCCTCAGGACCCACTCCAACAGGTCCCTGTCTTTCCTGAGGTACTGAGGACTCCAGAGCTGGACACAGTACTCCAGGTGGGAGTACAGGGGGAAAATGACCTCCCTCGACCTGCTGGCCACACTTCTTTTTATGCAGCCCAGGGTACAACTGGATTTCTGGGCTGCAAGCACACTTTGCTGGCTCTTGTCCAGTTTCTCAGCCACCACTATCCCAAAGTTCTCCCAGGGCTGCTCTCAGTCCGTTTGGTGCTGGTTGTGTGGTTGCTGTATTCACAGTTGTGTTTTCTGCGAAACAGGGAATGATTTTTAACTTTTCTTTTTTTCCCTCATTTTTCTTTTTTACCTCTTTTTCAGAATTCCCCACTCTACCAATATCTGCAGGATTTGGGACACACGGATTTTGAAGTATGTTCGTCTGTGTCACAGAAGGCAGAGCAATGTGCAGCAGTGGAAAGCCAAAGAGAGAGGACTCTGCATGCTGCCCAGAAAGTGAGCACTCTCCTGGTCCTCAGCATTTATCTTCTCAAGAGAGAACCACATTATTTCACAAATAGGCAAAATCAGAGGGGATAAACATAAATCTCTTACTGTATTTAAAAAAAAAACCAACAACACCAACAAACAAAAAAAACCCCAAGCAGTTGTCATATCTTGTCTGCAAATGTATTTGGAAAGGCATGGTTTGTCAGCATAGTTTGAAGTGGCTTTTTGCAGTTATGTAAGCTAGGGAAGCAAAAGACTTTCATAGTGATTTTTTTGAATGTTGTAAATTATCATATTTACTGGTTATTATTATCTTAGCTCAAAATGACTTTCTGGGAACAAAACCTGTAATTTTCTGGAACAGAATATTTATAGTTCCCAGCCCTTCTCAGGCATTCAGTTGCTAAATATCATTTACTTTGTGACAAAACATATTAAGAAAGAGGATTTCTGGTAAGTATAAATACAATAACCAAGCTGAATGAGATAGTAGAACTGTGCTTAGGTTATGGCAATTTTCTAACAGCTGACAAGGCTGATTAGCTCAGACTTCTTATTTCCCTATCATTTTAAGTAACGGTTTGTGGATTTTTTAAAAACATTTTGGTATTAAAATTACGCTTGAGAATTTGGCCATCTAACACCTATTGTGACCTGTTTTGTTTTTTTTCATTATTAAAAGTGATTGGTATTTTTACTGTTACTGGGAGCGTATAGGGCATGTGATTCGGATGAGGAGCTGTAGTGTGGGTGAGGAAATTCCTCTTTCGAGGCAGCTAATGTGGGAATCTCTTTGCAACAAGTATATTGAGAATTCAATAGTGGATCTGTCTTCTCCTTAGCACCTATATGGAGCATGGAAAGAGCAGGTATTTTCTGCCTACCTCTTTCACTTCCACTGTGGAGAGTTCAGTTTTCAGTGGACATGCTCCATCTATGTGATAAGCCAGAAGGAAAAAGATGCCTCCATGCAGACTTCTCTGTCCTGCTTGCTGCAGGCTGAGGTGGGCAACACCTCACAGGTAAGAACCCAAGACAAGCTTTCATGGGTTGATGCATTGCCTCTGAAGAATTACCATTTCTTTTTCCTCTCTCCCCATCATCTGCAGTGGCTTCCATCTTTGTGCCCCTTACCTCATCTGATTCTTGCCCACTGTGACTTTTAACCTGCCACTGGAGCTAAGTTTTCCTGGTGTTCATTCCTGTTTTATGCCTCTTCAGCTATCTTCAAATCACAAGTTCACAACCCCTTCCCTCTCATTTGTAAGCTCTGCTGCTTCCCTGCTCCACCATGTTCCACCCTCCCAATTAGCTGGCGGTGAACTGGGGAGAGCATCCTATTTTTCCCAAATTCAGGCAATATGATATGAGTGGTTATTGAGATCTCCAGAAGGTCTCCCTGCAGATTGTGATGGATGGGAGATCGTACGGCAAATGAGGAGAGCTGATGCTTCTCTTAGGATCTTTTCTCAAATCATGCCATCTTGATGTATATCCACTACTCAACTCTCAAGATGCTTCAAGGAATGAGCCAAGTAAAAGTCACACTTAATTAGGCTTTATTTCAACAAAGCTTTTTTCAGGTTTGTATGTGTCCTTCTTGTTCTGCCTTTGTTTTAGGTCAGAACTATTTTTTTCTCATAGGATTTTTAACCTGTTCTTCTCTGTGCGGGATCTTAGGTGAGGTAGGATTTGGAAGTCTATGAATTGATGTGGGTAACATCAGTCAGCTCTTTTCTGATCTGGGGAAAGCATGTGTGTTTTTTTAAATGTTTACAATAGTATGGTATTTGTGAAAACTACATGCAGAGTCTTTGAAGCTGAAATTTAGAAGTTGCAGTGTGAACTTTACTCATCTAGCAGTATTCAGAGAAGTGTTGGTAGGTCGTATTTTCATGTGGTTATACTGATTTCAACCAGTTTCTGTATAAACTCTAAAAACTTCCTCACACACTCATTGAGCTGTTTGAAAAAACAGGATAGTAAAGCATGAAACATTTTGCTTTGTATTTTAGTCCTCTTGGAGTCTTTCTTCACAGATAGATGGGTCATAGTTTGCGTTTATCTGTTGGGTGGGTACACTGCGCGCTTTGCTTTGCTTGTCCCCAGTTCCTGAGACTTGCAGTCTCTCTGAAGTGTGCCATGTCTCCCTTCTCTCATGCCCCACTTTCTGGTCAAAGATGACCATGCAGATAAGATGCTGGGTGCATACCCATTGAGCAGACCAGTAAGTGCCATTGTGTGCCCAGCACATGGATTAGACAGAGCCTGTAAAGCATAACCATACTACAGTAAGAATCCCTAAATTTAGTACTGCTCAGCTGTGTTCTTGCAGAGTCTACAGCTTTTCAAAGAGTTCAATAAGCATGTAGAAAAAAATTGTGAAGGAGCTTCATACAGAACTCTGGTCTTGTGTGCTGAGGATTTGTGTGCCCAAGAGAGAGATTAACTGAGGGGAGGAGGAGAAGTGATTTTTGCAGGGTCTCCATGCTTCCTTGGCTGGCTTCTCTAACGTAAGATTATTTAAAACTTAATGAATAAATTGATTTCTAGTTACTGTTGATATGGATAACTATTACATTTGTAATAATGATTGCTCCTATCAGTGATCACAAGGCAAGGTTGAATTTAATTCAGGGTTTAACTCATGAGACTTTAATTTAAAGTACTTTTAAAAGCATTCATGGAAATATTAGGTCTGCTACCCTTACTTTTCAGAGTTGTCAGCTGGCAATCACCATAACCCTCAAAAAAACACCTGAAAATATATTTTCCCTTTTAAAGCTATTGACAGTTTTGTGGTACATTTACATTGCTTAGTGCAGGAAGACTTTAATTAAACCACTGTTAATTGAAAATTGAAAATTAGGGTGACATATTTCATTGGCTGATTATCTGTTCAGTACTAGGAAGTAATGCATGGACTATTGCTTGTTAGCTGCATTCCTTTATTTTGCATAATTACTTTTGTGGAAGTCGGTAAAGCAGTATGATGCTGTGTTCATGTATATAATTTCCACTGAATTTAATACAAAAGTGCTGTGGGATTAAGAACCTCAAAAGTATTAAGATATACTGCTTTTAAAAGCCTCAAGTATTCTGGTTTTTTCCCTCCCTTTGCCTCAAGCATTTTACACTTAATTTTATTATGTTGGGAGCAAGTCCTCCAGTGTTGTGTCAGATGTAGAAGTAATTTGTCATGGTTTGCCTTGCAACTTGAAGGGAGTGGGTGTGTGAAAATGGGCTGTCCATTTCTTACCAACGCTAGGATGATATTCACATTGTCTCATCTCTGTCTAGACAAGGATATGTAGTGGAAATAAGGAAGAAACCTGTGTGTAATTTCTAGTGATAAAACATCGTAGATTCTTCCTGCTGCTGTTCCAGTAACAGTTTGGGGATGTTAAAACTTTTCTGTTATAATCTGATGACAGAAAGTCTGCTTTTGTCATTTGATTTCTGTGTCCCATTTTGGTAGGATGTCTCTAAAGGAAAGAGAATGAGGCAGAGGCAGATGGCCACACGTTTAAAGAAGTAGACTTTCTTCTTCAGGATTTAGGAGAATCTGAGATTTTGTGGCAACTTTTGTATGACATACAGGCAAATAATTTACGTTCCTATTCAATCATTTCCTCATTTTTACACGAGACTATTATCACTTCCCTTCCCTCAGCCTTTGCTGGCCTAGTCTATTGAAATTATAAAATTTCTGGGAAACAAATGGTTTCTGAGTTCTGAATATGTAGCTACCTACAGTCCTAATATAAAATGATCATAATTGAGGCTTAGTGTAATGCAAAATATAATCATAGGGAGCAGATGATGTTCCATGCTGAGTGCTGCCTAGGATGTGTATGTGCTTTCCCTTCTGTTCTGAAAAGCAAGTTTACAAATGCCTTAAACACTTTATTAAAATAAAAATAGACAAGCTGCAATATTGCTTTGTCTTCAAGTTGAGAGCGTTTTACTCCTCTTGTATTCAGTCAAGTAGGAGCCCTGTGCAGATACAATCTGGTGACATGTAGCAAGATTTTGGCAAGGCAGAGATCTAGTTTGGGATCTTTAGGGACTAAAAAAATGAATCTGGAAAAAAAGAGGTTCCTAGTGAAAGATACAAATGTTGCTGCTGCATCTTGCTGTCCTGCCAAGCAGAGCATATGGTTCAGGCTTAATGAAAGGCAGAGGCATCAGCTGAATTAGAAGCACATCTTAAATAGTTTTGTGTGTGTGTGTGGTTTTGGAATATTTTTTTTAATCAGAGCACGGTCTTAATGAACATTGAGCTGAAAAACTGTAAAGGTACTGCTAGGTTGTGTTCTGAGGGCTGATGAAATGCCAAGCTCCCATCTGAGGGAGTGTAGAGCTGTGATTTAGGACTGTAATTATAGGTGCAGTGTTCCTGGCTGTATGAAGGAGCTAAAGTTCTGGTCTCATAATCACCTGATACTCAAAAGCACTGTTTGCAAGAGCTCCTAGACCTGTTTTCTGGAATTAAATCCTATTTGGGTAATTCTGCTTGATCTTTAAGGAATATATTTCTTCCCATTTACATTTTTCCTTTCTCACTCATTTTCCCAGCCTGCTGTGCGTATCTGAATGCTTACATTGATGATACTGTCACGCCGTATCCCATCTTAGATGTGATAATATTTCATCAGTAGAACAAGGCTGGTGCTGGAGGCAGCTACTCAGGGTTGTGTTGTGGCTAGCCCTCAGTAGCTGTGCAGGTGACCTGATGTGAAAAGGCAGAGGGACCAGTCCTTTCCTTTCTCTAGGGCTCCCACCCACTTAATGCTGGCTCTGGGGAGCTGGAAGGTATTTGATGTGTAGCATTATCTTCTTTCTGAAGTGCATAGAATTGAAAGGTGCTAATGTGAATAATGATATTTTAGATACCTGCTAGTTTGCCATTTCAGGTTCATCCTGTACAAAAGAGAAATAGTCCTTCGAATTTTATTGTAGATTCAAATGCATGTACCTAAAAAGTGTGTGTCCTATGCTATTAAAAAAAAAAAAAAAAGGTTAGGAGTTATAAATCTTTGTTATTCAGTTTACAGAGTTTGACCCAGTGGCGTTCTAAAGTTGTAAGAAGAATACTCCAGAAGCATTGGCAACATGACCTGACTTGTGTGTTGATGAATGTTGTTTTACTTGTCAGTAACACTCCCAATGGGAATGCAAACTCTGAGACACTGTTCCAAGCATCTGAATAATTTAATGTGTTACTGTACTCTACTGGGTCAGAGCCCAAGACAGTGGGTTGTCTTGTTTTGTGTTTTCAAGCACTGGCATGCCTGTTGAGTGTTTATGCAAGCTCAGATTTTTATTTTTATTCTAAAACACGGAAAATAAACTGAAAGATTACTTACATAGCACACTAGCATGGGTTTTTTTTCCAGTAATTCCACAGTCTAGTCAGCTGGTAGTAGTTTAAAATTATCCTTGGTGTAGACTTAAATGTTCATGACAAAAACCCAGGGACTTATGAAGGCTAAGTGGTTGAAAATGATAGGCTGCAAGAGGCATAATTTTGAATAGCAAATGGACAACTCTTTCTGTACTCTGCTTTCAAAGTACTGGGAAAAGTACTTCTGAATGAAGTATCTGTCTGCAACTCAAATGCAGAGCAAGGACTTTAGTATAGCTCATGTCAATTTTTTACAAATTGTAATCACAAAAATTTGTTTTATTTTCCACCACCTTGCAAGAAACTTGGAGTATATTCTAGTGCTGCAGTTTGTGACACTCTTCCAACTTACGTCAGTGCCCTTGAGCAACATCAAAATACAATCATTTGGACTCGTTCCATAGTCTAAGAAGTGTGGATTGCTGGGAGAGCTCCTCCTAATAAGCCATGGTGATGTCTGTGTATCGGGAAGAGCTATCGTTATGAAACCCCTATTATTGGTTTGTCTCTCCACTGGCCTAAAAACACTTCCCTTTGGTGCAGGTCTGCAGTTCTAACAGTATGCAGAAAGGTGAGCTGTAAGTAAAGAAACACTTGAGTACCTCAATGGACACCAAAGCATGTTATTTCAGAAATTGTTCTGTGGAGCATAAGGGCTTTAGGGTGACAGTTTCTGACATTACTCAAAGTGTTTCTGCCCTGGCTTGCTACTTCAAACTTGTGTCAAGCAGCCTTTCAAAGGGCTGTCAGGATGATTACAGGGCTGACCACGAAGCTCCAAGCTCCTATTGCTTGGTTTTACTCTTCTATTTCCCACCTTATAGTTTGGGAGGGAGAAAGCCAAGAGGGAGAAATGGAAGAGGCTGATTTAATGCAGACACCTTTTATACATTAAGCTATTATAATCTGTTTGGAGGGGTTTTTTTATATATTTTGAAGCAGTATGCCACAAAATATAAGTGCTCCACAATTAATTTTTTTGGCATACATTTTGTTTGATTGTACTGCATGTCAGCAGTCTGAAGATTAAAAGGTGGGGCCTCAGAATTCATGAAGTATATGTAAGTAAATATTTTGAAAAATACTTCCTGCCAACTCAGCCTGCGGAAAGTAGATATATAGTGTGTGTCACAAACTCCATTTTTTTTTCATTGAATGGCTGTAGAGTGAAGCAAAATCATGCATCTATTTAATTATAATCTTTTGTGCATTGTATTTTAGGAAGATACATGAATAAAATGTGTGACGACTGAGAGGGAGTCCTTCTGATTAGTGGGACTCTAGTTACATTTAGAACTCCTATGGAATGTGGATGTAGCTTGCGTGGGGAACAGCATGGAGAGAAAGTACCTGATAGCACGAGCTGGTTGGGACAGGGAGTTTCTGGAACAGTTCTTCCTCTTCCCTGTCTCTGTTCACAGCTCCTCCAGAGCCTTATCATGCTGCGGTGGTCTGCCAAGGAGAGGATGTTCCTCTCCTGGTCTTTCACTTCAGTCCCTGTCAGTCATTTAACTTCACTGCTTTTTTATCCTTAAGGAGAGAGAAAGTCTTTCATATCAATGCAACAGATGCCGATTTGAGATCAAACTAATTCTAGCTGTTGTTATTTTTAACAGTACAGCATAACAATCCATTATGCTCCAAATAGGTGGGGTTACTGAAAGCTTTATTTCACGCTCTTGTGTACAGGCAAACTAACGGGAAGCAGATGTTCCCTTAGTGTACTCTGAAGTTGGGCCAAACACAGTAAGCAAAACTTCCTTACAGGTACTTGGGTCTGAGTTAACAAGAAAAGCAAATGCAGAAATAAAGGAGTTGTTGTTGTTATTTATTTATTTTGGGTCTTCGTTTTCTTTTTTTAATTGGAATATTTTCTGTTCCCTTCAGCAAAGCATCCTGTCAAAACTAGTTGAGTTCTTTAGAAGTTGGTTTCCTTTTCCACAATACAAGAAAAATGATGACATACTTCACCGACTGGTAAGTGATCCTTTTTTTTTTTCCATTTCCTTTCCTAATCCACAAGTCTTCCTTTCCTCTGTACCTCATCCTCTGAGCAGCACCTTTGGTCTGTACTGTTGGTTTTGGCTCTAAGGGTTTTACTGCTCCTTCAGATAATATTGATTCTGGTTTTCAGAGTCAGTGTGCCAAGCAAATTTGGCACACAAGAACAGGAAAAATATCAGTAGCCAGCTAGAAGATGTTAAAAATGTGGAAGAGAAATTAAAATAAAATGTGTGAGAAATTCTTGACAGCTGAAAGGGGTTACCCTACAGTGTAGCTAGCCCGTTGGGCGGAAGGCAGTGTGGAGATGCTGACTGAGAAGGTCCATAGGTTACAGCCTGGCGCCTTGCAGGCACAACTCAAGACAGAAGGCTCCAGAGCCTCACCAGGAGTATTGTTTCACACACTGTTTCAGCTCATTAGCTCAGGCATGGCATAAACCCAGTGCAGCTCTACCCTGGACCCATCCTGGCCTATTTGTTTCTTCACTGCTCTCTGCAGTGCTTCTGCATTTGGGAAGAGTGAAGCAAATTAAGGCATCTGTGCTGTTATGCTTCAGAACACATTAAGAGCAGATGACATCTGTGGAGCGGTCTGGCTGTAGGGAGAGGCAAGAACAGTTCTCTCTACTACCTTTGTGCTCTCATCTCAGCAGTTCAGAAACAGGTTGGGTGTCCATCTGTTTCACCAGAAGTCCTCATACTCCTGGACCCTGCAGGAAATTTTTGGGTCCAAGTCAGCCTGTGTGGAATAGACCTGAAGGGTGATATTTCTACCCCGGATAATTAAAAATAGTTTTAAGCTGCCTTTACACCTCTTCTCCGCAATGCCACTTTCTAGCCAGTTCAGTCTCTAGCCTGGGCTTCTCTGAGATCTGCTTTAACTTGCACCCAGCTGCCTCACGTTCCTAGTCTGGCTTGCAATGTCACATTACTCAGACTGTTCCAGAATCTAGAAGTTAGAATTTTTGTTTAATTTCTTCTGCTGTGATATAGGAATGATGTTTTCAAATGTAGCTTCAAAAAAAAAATTAAAAATTGAGCAGCATAAGAAGTTAGAGGTTTCCATTTCTCAGAGAGTTCTGCCAAGTCCAATTTCTATCTCTTGTCCCTTATCTCAAGCGGACAAAACTTCCTCTGAAAACTCCCACCAGTGATCTTTGGTTGTCTTTTTTCTTCCTCCCTCTTCCCTTATGAATCAAAGGTATTATCTTCACAGCTTTATTTAGCCTTACTTTCTGGAGATGAAGACACAACCAAAGTATATGGAAAACGTGTTTCTCCTTCTGCATGCTACAGTAGGGTACTGAAATGATACAGGAAGTGTCAGAGGAGGGCAGAGTTTCCTCTTACACACAGTCCTGAAACAAATGTTTTCCATTAAAAGCAGAACCCAAGTTATGGCAAGTGACATCAATGTATGGAATTAAACTTTTGACTAGCTATTTTATGGTTTCATAAATAATTTCATTCTGTCAATGACAGAACTAAACAGATTTTGTATTGTGAAATGTCAAACTTCTTTTAACAGGTTCTGCTAAAGGGTTTTACAGAATATTCTCATTTCCTTCCTGTGATCTCACTAGATGCAAAGATGCACGTGTTCAGTGTTTTTTGTGTTTTGTTATGATGTTCTTAACTCAAAGTGTTTTGTAATTTTAATTTGGTGCAGTATGCAAATAAAAATTTCAGGGGCTTTCCTAATGGGTATATTTGTCTTCAAGATCCGTGTATTTGTCTTGAAGAACTATAGCTGTAGGGAAAAAAAATAGCAAATGCTTTTCATGGCATCAAATCCAGAAATAGTAACTCCCTGAAGTTTGCCTGGAGTTCAGCAAGTGGGAGGTCTTCAGAGTCCCATGCTGTTTCATGCTGGATTGAGTTCCCATGGAAAAGGTCCCAGAATCCTGTAGGAGAGGACTTCACTGCCTTTGCTGGAGGGTTGAGTCCAGTGCATTGACCCTATTACTAAATGCCCACAGGTGACTTTTTGTTGCCTGATTTGTACTATTTCTCTTTCTAGTTTTTGTTTGTTTGTTAATGACATAAATTATGTCATTACATATTAAAAAAAAAAAAAAAAAAAAAAAAAAAAAAAAAAAAAGAGTATTTGCTGTTTTATTGAAGATCTTCTAATAGATAGTACCTCTCTGATTCTTATCCAAATATACTGGCATAATCTGTGGCGTGTTTCCAGATATTGTTAATATCTAGGTCAGATCACAAAGTTGGTGCAACTCAACCTACAAGTCTGAACTGATAGGCAATATGGGAGTTAAGCAAGTTTAATAAAAATGAAGTAGCTACTTGTGATATATCTGAAATATTCCTGTAGTCTTTGGGAACAGATTGTTGTCAGTAAAGTGTAGAGTGTCTCAGTGTTTTCCTTGTTCTGCTGACTTAATTTTAAGAATGTGCATATTCTTTACTAATGCCTGTTTTTTCTCCTGCCCGTTTGTGGTAAGGATGTTGGATTTCGGTTTGACACGCTCCGTACCATCCTGCAACAGGAAGTTCTGCTGCAGGAGGATGTGGAACTGATTGAGTTCCTTGACCCCAGTATCCTGTCTGCAGGGCAGAGTAAGCAACAGGAAAACAGACAGCTTCCAACGCTACGCTCCCTAGCAACTCCTAATATTTGGTATTGTACAGAGAATATCTACCGCTATATTCACTGAGAAACAAGCAAAAAATATATTGTGTTTTCTTGATATAAAATGCAGCAATAATATAACTGCTTTTTTTTCTCAGGTCTTTGAGTGTTTGGTCCACTAGTCCCCAAATTTTTCTACAAGCATATTTTTTCCCTCAGGCATTTTATAGGAGGGAGTTTTAATCTGAGATAGCTACATGAACATGAATGGGTACTTCCAAACCCTTATATGTGCTATAAGGAAGAACTATGGTTGATTAATTAATGAATTTCTAAAGCTATAGAATGGTGATTTTGATAAATGAAGCACGATTGTGAAAGCTGAATTGAAAACTGTTTTCTTTGCAGTGGTCTTTGTAAAATATGCTGGGGGGGTGTGTGCAATTAAATTTCAGACATAGAATACCAGAAGAACAGCCTAAAGAATATTTCTAAAGATGCATTCATGTCAGCAGAGGCTGGTGAAATTCACCCTAGAATACCGAAGGAGCCATCTGCAGCAGTCTCTGAACAGCTACCACCAGTATTTGAAAAATAACAATGATGATGGGTATTCTGACTGAGTGACTTGCTCAGAAATGGACAGGAATCAGTAGATAAAAATATCTCATAACACAGCCCAGTGCTATGCTTTCATACATATGTTAGAAAAATAGATAAAATTATTAAAAAGCCGGATTAAAAAAACCCAGCTGTTTAAGTTGTAATATGTCATTATTGATGCGCTCTGTCAAACGCGAACTTTTGAACCAAATTTTTCCAGTGATTTGTCCCAGTCCTAGTGCTATTCACTGCTTCTTTAGCTGTTCAGATTATAAAGTACCCTTAAAAAAATTTTAATATTGCTTAGCTTATAGATGACACCAAGTTTGTAAGTGTTTTAGCAGAATGGAGTTCAAAAAGAAGCTTGGAGAAGTATCTTGAAATCAATAGAAAAGTCAATAAAGACAGAATTCTAATGCTACACTTGGGAAGGAAAAATCAAATTAACAAACATAAAGTGGTGAATAATTGTACAGTGGTGAATAATGTAACAGTACTACTTCAGAAAAGGATCTGCACATAGTTGCACAGCATAAATTGAATGCATCAGCAAATTATTACAAAAATGGCAAATCTTATCCTGGTGTCCTTGTTCTATGCAGAACTTGGGGGTTTACTTTTGTATCTGTTTCCCTGAGTCTGGTGTTAGACTACAGCATCTGTTTTTGGATGCCACACTTGGAGAAGCATAGGTAGTTTAGAGACAGTCCAGAGCAGAACAACAAGAATAATGAGTTTAGAAAATGTAAGCTTTTGGAAACGTTGGAGTGTGTTAGAATTGTTTGGCCAAAATGGAGAAAATTGAGGTGGGGTGGAACAATATTACGATGTGTAGAAGATAGTTAATCAGAAGGTGGTGATCAATTGTCATTTATTCTGTTCAGTCAAGAGAAGCATATGAGGAAAAACAATGTAGTTAATTTGCCAATGATTCGGAATGGACTTGGGGGAAATCTTTTGAACTCTAAGGATACTTAGGAGTTGGAATAGCTGCCTGGCCAGGTTGTGGAGTCTCCATTTTCTTCAGACTGTCCATAATGATTTGGATTAACCAGAAACTTTAAATGGACAAAGTGAGACCTTAAATCCCTTCTAGTCTTTCACTCTTGCGATTCATTTTTTTTTTGTATGTGGGATATTTTATTTTTAATGTACCAAGGAAGTTATAGACTTTTTGTCTACCCTGTTTAAAGTAAATTACATATCTGCAGTATTTTAACCCTGCACTTTTACTGAAACCTGTCAGTAGCCCTGAAGAGTTAACACTTTAAAGCCTATTGAAATATGACCACAAAACTGTCGAGAAAATAGAAATCTAGACATCACGTCTTATTTCAGAAATAGAAAAATATTCCTTGTGAATACTTCCAAAACTAAATACAGAATACACCGCTTAAAGGGGTGAACAAAGTAAATAATTTTTTTCAAAAAATTCTGAAAAATTAAAGTTGTTATGCACCTTGAAGCCCATATTCCATCCATGTCTGTGAAGACTGTCATAATTTTACAAAACTGCAACTATAATACTATATATGAAACAGTGTATCTTCTAGCAGTTACTTATTTTTATGGAATTTTTCTAGATAAAAATAACAGCTTTATGAAGTTTTTCAAATGTCCTTGAGAAATAACTAAACTGAGATACTAAGAACACTTGCTCTCTAAGGGTTTGCAAAAGTTGCCAAATTATTTTAAATAATTAGTCAAGCCATCTTTATAAAAATGTGTTAAAACCTAGTGGTGCGTCGTTGTCCAAGTTAAATGAGTCAGAATCTGGAAAAAATAAAGCTGGCATTACTTGAGGGTTTTGTTACCAAAAGAAACATGCCCTTCCCTACTGTACTCTTGAACCTGGAAGTACAGATATTCCAGTTCCTACCCACCCTGGCTTATAATGCTGAGTAGTCAGGTTTTTTTTTCCTTTTTCTATTTTCTTTTCTTTTTTTATAAAGTCACGTGTGTAAGAGAAACTGACCTTTCAAATTGGTGCATTATTCTTTTACTTGTGCCATAAAAAAGGCGGATAAATGTTTCCTTAGAGTATACTGACCAAGTAATATCATGTACGTATACATCTAAATCTGCCACCACGAATAGGTTTTGGTGTTTACAGCTCCCTTCAGGCCCTACATAAAAGCCCCGTGATAAGATATCTTAATCTCAAATGTAACCGAAAGCTTTGTGATTTTCCCACTGGTTTGACCTCTGGAACCTGTGGCTGATGGCACTCTCTGTTCGCAGGGATGTCTCGCTGCTGCTCGCCTTTGTAAGTGCACTGCTTATGCTTCCTTCGTGGTGGAGGGAATCATCGTGGCTGCTCTGGGGACTGGTTCTGCTGGTCTACGCAGTCTTTCGAGTGTGGGGCACATGGAGGACAGCCAAGCTGCAAATGTCCCTGCGAAAATACTGCGTCCAGCTGGAAGAAACGGTGGCAAATAGCCGAGCCTTTACTAATCTTGTGAGGAAAGCTTTACGACTCATTCAAGAGACTGAAGTAATTTCCAGAGGATTTACCCTGTGAGTCTGTATTTCACTTTATTTAATACACAGATCCATTCAAGCCAGACATCTTCTAAAATTATCTTGTTACACCATCTACCATAACTAGTGGAATTACTAAAAAACATAAAGCTTTTTCTTTACGTAAAATAGCACAATTACCATTCATACTAAAAGTATGAATTCTAACAACTCAGTGTTAAAACCCTGCATCCTGAAGGAGAATTAAATCTCACAAAACTTGTATGCCTTTAAAATTTCATACTCCGCCAGCAATGAAATACATGAAGAAATGGGATTTTGAAACAGTTTAGCTAACTCTTTTGGGGATTCATTTAGAGGATTGCTTGTTTGAAGGATTTTTGTATCTTATATTACCAAATCTATGTAAATAAACTGACCTGCAAGTAATCATTCATATTTTAGCAAACAAGATGACAAGAAAACTGTTCTATTTTTATTTAACAAATAACAGCCTGAAGTACTAAGAACACAGCAATCAGCAAAGACCGTGAAAGGTCATTTCCCACCTCAAAAAAAGTTTACAATACTTCTTTTTCTTGCATATAATTGTTGAGATGTTTAGAATCCTAAATTATTTACTGCTGAATTTGTCTCTCATCCACTTAAGGGATGTGAAAATGTTACTGGTTATTTAGCTCTTGTAGCTATTTGGTAATTTTTGCTGCTTTGCTATGTAAAAGGACATCAGAACATGTTCAGTGTATGCAATGATCCTCAAAGCCAGCAGGCCCCACTTCTGTGCACTCTCATTGCCACAGATACTCTTCCCTGTAACAACCTATGGTTAGATATGTACCTGTGCCAGTTAGAATTAAAGCTAAAGGGGGTGGGAAACACCAACAGCTAAAATCCAGTTGACTTCTTTCTAAAAACAATAAAAAGTTGCCCGGTGTGCACCAAGAAATTGTTTGCTCATGCCAGACCAACTTCTCTGTGCTCAGGTACATGTATTTACATGCAAGCTTGAAACTGTAGACTTTACATTTTGAATTAATTTTCTAACTTGAGATACCTTCATTATGCTTCACTGAAGAAATGTTTCATTCTCCCTTTGGAATGCATAAGCATGTCTTCAGTCTGCCTAGCTATGTGTTTTGTTTTGGTTTGGTTTTTGCTGAAAAAGCGTATAGTTAAGCAATCGGCAGTCTTATCTTTGGAAACGGGTTCTTAAAAGAAATTATTGTTAGGGCTTGTCCAAATTACAGATGAGAAAAACATTTGGATTTTTTCCCAAGTTGAAGCAAACGAACTTGTGGTCAGTGTCTAAATTGCTGGTGTCTTGTTCTTTTACTACATATCTTAGATAACAGATTAACAAAAAACAGACTGGCCTTTAAGCTGATGCTTGATCTAATAGCCTCTTTACTTAAAACTTTGGCAAGCTTTTCAAAAGACTTTGGAGTATGGATGGAGTGGGAGAAGCCTGACTGTGCCAGCATCCTCATTGGAACAATTGTCCAGTATGAGAAGTCAGTGCTGTACAAGTTTTGGTTGGGTTTAGCCTGAAGGAAGTTCTAAATCCAGAGTGTCCTTTTCTGCGTCCACATACGCAAGAGATGCTGCTGCACAGGGCACTATGGAATTATTTGCTTGAGATAGTGCTCCATATATGATCCAAAAAACTAGCTACCCCTTTTTTCTTCCAGAATTTTGCTACAATAAACCTTGGCGGAACAAAGTTTAGTATGTTCTCCTGTGGTAACCTTGTCAAAGTCTTAATGCTCATCCAGAAAGAGCCACATGGCAATGGAAGTGGTTGCATCTAAAAGTTAATGAGTATCTTCTTGTGTCATTTTCGTCCTCAAAGGAATGAGATTTCAACCAGGTAGCCCAGCACCCCATTCAATGAGACGCGTGTTGCTGTTTTAATGTACTGTGAGCTCAGCACGGTTTGGACTGTGCATTAACCATGTTGTGAATGGAAAAATACTGAAGCTGACGTTTAAATAGTACTGAGCTCAGATTGTGGCTACCTGTGCTTTGCTAAACTCTGATATGGCAGCTTTGGTTTGAAGTTCCTTGTGTTCCACCACTGTTTTTTCTCCCCATTATATGATCCATTGCTATATTCTCATAGGCTAATTTACATATACTTTGAAATATCTATGGCTTTGCTTTATTCTACCCACTTTGTCCCTTGTTAATTCATACTTCACTGTATCTGTAAATGCTAAATTATTCTTTATGAGGCTTTAGTCAGTTCTCCACTGGTTCACTGGTCCACTACTGTGTGGTAGTAACTGCTTTGTGTTTAACAAATTCAAGCATTGTTTTCCCTTCATTCCTTTCTCACTCAAAAAACCCACAGCAGCCACTTAGAAAAGGAACTAAGAACCCTGTCAGGCCTCTCTTATATTAGCTGCTCTCGAAGGCAGCTGGATATTCTAATTTCAGAGTGGTCTTCAGAGTGTTTAACGCTGCTACCTATTTAGGGTATATCAGCATGGTGCAAGCTCTGCCATGCAGAGATGCCCGAGACCTCACCAGGATAGTTCGGAGTACAGAAATTGTGTAGCCAAGGTAGGGCAGTGCTCTGCTCAGACAGAATGGCAGTATTTCTGTCTAATTGCTTCATTTGCAATGAGACAAATGAATCACAGAATCACAGAATTGTCAGATCACGGGTTGTGGCCTGGAATTTCTGCTAGCTAATGAAAGTTTGTCCATTGTTTTGCACATTATAAAATGAAAACTGTAGCAATATGTACATGGGTACATATACATGTACATGAAGGGCTGCATCAATAAGCAGCAAGTACTTATTTCCTTGTCTGTCACTGAAATAATTAGCTTTTCTCCAAAATGCGCCCTTTCCTACTATATTTTAAACTAGAATCAAGCTCTACAAGCACATATTGGTGTATATAGCATCCCTATAGAACTGCTTTCATGTTAGAGTGCGGTAATAGTTTTTTATTCATGTGTCTATACAAGTTTGTTAAAAGTTGAGAGCCTATTTAAAATTTGGCTTGTGAGATTAATGGAGAAATAAGTCACTGTTCTTTACAAGTAAAATGGGTTTGGAGCACTAGGAAAGAGGAAATTCACCTTTAACCTTTTTGTCTTCTTGCTATTTGTGGCTGATGCGCAAAGCTGATAACATTTTGTAAGTCCGATTGAAATACATAGAAGATAAATGGAACTTTAGGACATTAGGCCTATGTCACGTCTGGCACAGAGACATTTATAGCAAGTTCTATTAATTTCAGATTACTGGAATAAAGAAGAATTATTTTACAAAAAACACTGAAACAAGCCTTCCCAGAAGGAAAGCAAAGTGTTTTGCAGAATGCTGGCAGTACGTGCATGATGAGTTGTGCTGCGTTTGTTCTGTGTGGGAGCTGGAAATGCTCACATTGCTGGAGCAGAACGTAGATCTCTTTATTTTATGGTAGAAGAATTTTGCTTCTTTTCTTTGAGCCTGCTTCTGACAATTCACCCAGGGCTTGAGTCTACAAACTGATGTGAGAGTTTATCCCTAAACATCTCCAGTTGTTACCTTGAAAAGCGAGGGAAATGTCAGAGGTTGGTATGTACCATATTACATGCCATGTTCCCTAGCGAAGCCTATGGCAAGACTAGCATTTTAGATTTATGTCTAGAAATCAAAATTAACACAGTTTGTTTTTATTTCATACAGATTTTAAAGTACTTTATGAGTTGTTATATAAACCATTTTAATATCACTCATATAATTTAATATGGTAAGCAGTTATTTGAACATGGTGTTTTAGCTAGCATATTCAGTATCCTGCTGTTTGGCATGAATCTCCTCGTGTCACCCGTATGTAGCACACTGGTATGTGTCCAGCCTTGCTCACTGGGTGGGCTGCGTTGCTTTTCACATTTGACAGTGGGGGTGATGAGCAGGGTCGGGTCTGCTGCTTTAATCAGCTCTTCAGTTGGATGGAAGTAGGTCAGAGAAGTAGTTACCAATGCAGCAACCCACCCCAGTCTCGGCCGGTACCCTGGGTGCTTTTCCCTTTTAAGTCACTTCTGACATGAAATCACCTCCTCAACATGCCCTGGGAAAGGTGAGAGCAGCAGCAGTATCCAAACAATTCATGGCAATTCATTATCCTGTTGTCCACGGTATGACCATTCCTGAGTTGATTCAAGTAAAAACAGTCCCAGCAAGTGGGATGGATGAACTGTCCACATGGGCTGTCTTCAGTGTCGCAGTCATGGGTTTGGCATCAGACTGCATGTGAATAGGTACAACTAGATGTTAAATTTTTTTTTTTTTTTTTCCCTGCAGCTTAATGTTACACAGACTTATTTAACATTCACCCAGTTCACAATTCAATTTACTTCCAGATCAGGCTATTTCTTACCATTCTGAAGCCATTCTGAAGTATATTCTAGTAGGCAAATGGCACAGTTTCTTTCAAATAGTATATTCACATGAACGTCTAGACACCAAAATATATTTCCAAATACATGCCAAAATATACCAAAATATGCTTGTATAGTTGCATACATTTCATGTGTTTACCTGTCAGACTCCCACAAACACAACTGTAATTCATTGCATGACTGATAAAATCTAAGCCACCACTCAAATTAGATTTTTGTTGACCTGGTGAAGATTCTGCACAGAAAAGGTTGAAAGAACATAGTGTTTTGCATAAAACCAGTATGTAGTAGTGCATTTTTTCTGCAAAAATTATTTAAAGAATGAATTTGCATACAAAGAGGTATATGTTAAATATCTGTGTGTTCAAACTTCTGAGGCTTACAGTAGGCTTGTGATAGTTTTGTATCAGAGATAATGCTATGGCCTGTCTACCCTTAGTGTATCATTTTAGAAAACTTGGGAGAAAATAGATATCCTCAGGAGTTTTGCTGTGGCTCAGATGAAAACAGAATCAGGTGTCTGCTGAGGAATCTGAGGAATCCTGGCTGCTTATTGAAAGTTTTGATTGAATTTGTCATTGATATGATGAATATTTTTTTTTTTTCTCGTAGTTACTGAGTGATTTGAAAAAGCTTTCTAAGTAATGGAATAAGAAATCTGATGTACTTGTAAATCTTTTAAAAAATACTTTAGGACATCTGTACAGTTGTATCACATTTTACTTTTCAAGTTTGCTTGACAGGGTCAGTGCCGCTTGCCCATTTAATAAAGCTGGACAGCATCCTAGCCAGCACCTCATCGGTCTCCGCAAAGCCGTGTATCGATCTGTCAGAGCCAACTTCCGAGCTTCAAGACTGGCTACTCTCTACATGCTGAAACAATATCCTTTTTTGGTGAAAACTCACGCGTTCAGATATTCCCTGTTCCCTACCTGTAATTGTGGCAATGTTTAGAGTTAGCATGTCTATAAACATACAGTATTAATTACATGTCTAAACAACATCAAGAAAAGGTAGAGTAGTCAAGTGACGCTTGGTTTGGAACATTCTTAAAACTTTTGTCTTTTGTGTGACTCTGCAGTTTGAGACAAGATTCTGTGCCCTGAAAACATTGTCCCAGTTACTGACACCCACGCCTTTGGTGTAAGTACTGATAATGTGTTTCAGAGTCCTTCAGGTTTTTGTTCTGTAATTCCTTTTAGCCATCTTTTCCCCTTGCACCAAAATATCCTCTCCTCTCAAAAATAGGGCCTTTCACTCGACATCCCTGTATTCACAGGTAAGTTGATTTCTGCTTTCAGACAAGCTGAGCAAAACTCTGATTACATTAATTAGCCAAAAGACACATTTAAGAGCAAGGAGTTTCTACTCTGAATCAAAGCAGAATACTTTGTTCGGATTCTGTTTTGTGAAGTATCGTCTGTATTTGTTTGGTGAATTGTATATTTTCTTTAATGACATTAGCATTTCAAGGGTTTTTTCTATGTTTATTGTACTTGTTGTACAATATAGGAAATACCAATGTCTTCACTCTGTATTATAGCAAAAAATAAAACAGGTATGTTCCTGATCTGAAAAAACACACTCGGGGAAACAAAAGCTGGTGGTAATTCAAGTGTTGAAAATCTGACATGACAAATTGCTTGTTTTGTCTTCCTGGAATGTAATATTTGACTAATATATCTTGCCTGGCAAATGGATGGATATATCAAGTGATGACATGCACACACACAGAGAAACACACAAAGCTATGAGTGCGTGCATTCACTTTGAAGGAAATTAATTTTTATTTGCAAAATAATTACTTGTGTAGGCATAGGCATCGCATTCTGGGCTCAAGACTTCACTCTTAGCTTTGTGGAATAAGGTGTGTTTGTTATGTAAAGAAAGAAAATAATACTCTGACTGGTTCAGACATGTTGGTAAGGGCAACTGGTACCTAGCTCAGAAATAATCAAGAATGAGCTCTAAGAACATGGGAAGAGATCTGAAAATGGGGTCCATTAACGTGGCCTTCCCAGATATCCTCCAGCATAAAGAAAGGAAAGTGCAGCAGTGGTTATGACAGGGGTGTAGATTGTTGCTGTGGCTGGGGAGGTGACAGGTTAAGGAATGTTGGTGTGTATTAAATTGCCCACTAGTTTTGTCACTACTCAACATACGTAATGGCTTTTAAATTAAGGAATGGGAGAGAAGAAAGTTTTGTTTACTTTGGATAATTTTACCTTTCTACCTGTCCGTGAAATTTTTTTAAGATGGAAGTACCATTATGCCAAATTACCATGCAGATACCACAGTAATAAGGGCCAGCAGAAATAAATGGCTAAAAGTTCCATGTGTTCTTGAAAAATGGAAAGAGAAGCATTATATTTATGTAGAACATAGTGGCAAAAAGTGGCAGCATGAGAGCTGAGGTGGAAGCTGGGCCAACTCTGCAGAGCGTGAAAACTGAAAGCAAGGAATTTAAATGTAAGGAAGATGAGTAAAGGATTCCTCCTCCCCACCAGGATAATTAAGAGCAGCTTTAAGGTAGTTCCAAGTTGCCTTAGTTTGAATTTTTCCCCACATATCGTGAATGCCTGAAACTGTTCTGTGTATTATATGGGCATTGATGGCAAGGAGCATCTTTCGAACAGATTCCAGTGCCTCGTGCAATGAAGTGCTCTTACGCTGGAGGGGCCAAAGATTCCTTCATGTCGAAAGCATTCACAGCTGCCACTTGTGACAACTTTAATGCCCTTGTCCGTCATCAGATTGTTAGCACAAATCTGGCCTCCAGCAAGGAGAAAGAGGAACTGGGAAGATTAAGTAAAGGGCTGAGGTGATAAATTGAAGGAAAGGAATGTTGATAAACTAAAGGAAAGGAACTTCCATCCAAAGTCTGGAAATGAGATCCCAATTCTGAGTTTTACAGTTCTTTTTAGTAAGCTCTGCTTACTAAAAAGCAGAAGATTTTCTCAACTTTAACTCCTCTAGGTTATCTGAGTATGAACTAATGAATCGCTGTTTGAAATTTGCTTTTTCTGAGCATTGTGAGAGACATGCGTCCAGTTGTACAATTAGTGATTTACACTGGCCACAGCAAAACAAAATGCTTTTATTAGAGAAAAAGATATTAGAGAAACATTCCAAATATTTAAAATCTGGATTAATATTACAAATGGCATTAAAAAAAACCCCAAACCTATGTTCCTTGCTTAGTCATAATGCTGTTTAAGTAAACATTTTGTGTTTTACTGGATATTGCTTTGTATTTTTGTAGCAGAGCAGATTTATCTCTGTACGTAGGCAAGTGAAAAACAGGATTATTTTTGCTTGAAAAAATTTCAGTAGGAATTTAATACGTGAATCACCTCCTCATGTTAAAGGCAACAAAATTTGAATCTTCCAAGCTAAAAATCAAAGCTTAGTTCCATTTTAACTGATTGCCATGTAAGGGCCATTTTTCTCGTTGAAGAATGAGGAAGTAGTAATTTCTTAAGTGTGTGAGCAAATACATGCCAGGCACTGCTTTGAACCACAGAACGTGCAGTTCTTGGAAACATTTGTGTGCGTGTATAAATGGGAAATAAACTTCCATGTTACAGTTTGCTTTCCTTGGCTAAGAGTATTCAGCTGGTAGTGCCACATGAGCATGATACTGGTCATTCAACAGCAGTGGTGAGCCTTTGACTTCAGAGGTCCTGTCTGTGTCATGTCCAGTTATCAAAATAAGGTCCTGCCTTGTCTGTGACCAGGGCTCCTGAGTGGTAAGCTGGGTACAAAAGGAGGAAAATGTGAAGTATGCCCTATTTTCCTTCATCCTTGTGTTTCTTATAATGAACCTAGAAATCTGAGATTGAAATTTGTAATGCAGTGAAGATAACTCTTGCCTTAAGGCTACAGTAAACATGTCTTGAACTGAGACGTATCTATTGTTACCTACAATGGTTAAAGTAATACAGAAAATGGTATTAAACTTACTAACGTAGTAAAAGGTATACTTTGATTTAAGTTAAGCTTTCATTTAAAACATTGTTATATATTCAGAACTTAATAGAAATATCTGCAGCCAAATTATTTTTCAAGCTTACTATGTCAGAATATCCCTTGCAAAAATAATTGGCAAAAAACATCAATGTACTCATTCATAGCTTATAAGGCTTGATAATTTTCTCTACTTTAAAAATATGCATTTACATGTGCTTAATAAAATCAGCCAAACACCTTCCTATAGGAACTGGTTTTTGTACATAATGTTAAGTTTAAAACGTGTTCAGGAATAAGCAAAGTCTGTTTCAATGGGGCAATTTTTTTCCCAGAGAAAGTAATTTCAGTGAAGGATGTTGTACAGATATATGTTTGAGCTAAATTCTACAGCGAATTTTTATACTTATGTTGTTTTAGATCTAGAGTTTTAAAACTATACAGTAAAATAGAGAAATGTTTAATTTTAAAAGCATTTCTAGGTTTGTATCTTGTTTTGTCAACAAATGCAAACGACAGAGCTTATTATTGTTTTATTTTACACTGCCTTGAGAGGGTTTTTTTCTTGCTAAACATATACTTTAATGTATTTGATTATTTCTGAGATAAATATCAAATTCATACTGTGGATCAGTAAGAGTGATCCTATTGGAAGCCAAAGGGAAACTGCTTTGAACTTCAGCCAGTTGCTTTATGTGTAACTTCAAGAGAGACAAGGAAGAACATATACTTGAGGGGCTGAGCTGGTAACTGTTGGTCTGAGTCTTAAAAGCTGCCTAATCTAAGTATTAATATTAATTGTAGACATAAATGAGTGACTAAGTGAAAATAAATTAGTCAATACATCTTAAACGTTAAGGGATATATTGATCTATGCTAATCCATTAAGTGTAGATTTTATAGCTGTCAGTATTATTTCACCTACCAAAATAGCTGCAGCAAATCAGGATTTTATAGTAATGTATATCCTAAATGTGTTGGAGGGAAATCTGTCTGATGAACCTGTTACAGAGAATTAAAAGTCTTAATTCAGAGCTTTATTCATGGTAAATCAAATTGCATAAACCTGATATGTTATCATTACTCCAATAAGACTAGAAGTTTAGTAACACTTGAGGCTAGTGTGCCCCCTTTTAGCTAAACAGCTGCTTTCAGCAAGTAGAATAAATTAATGCCTTCCTAATTAAAATTTTTTCCCATGTAAAATAGAAAAAAATACACAATTATACTTTAGCCTTAGACCAGATATATCGAACTTGACAGACCAATAATATTTCATGAGGTGGAAAGTCACGTTCCTTACATTTTATGTGAAATGACAGCTGGGTGCTTGCAGAAGCAATTCAGCATTTTTTCATGCCTTTCTTACTCTGATTTGCTTGTATCAGGAAGAGTTCACTGCTCACTATCATAGAAGAAAAAGGTAGAAGAGACAAAAGAGTATTTATCTTTTAATCTGGAAGATAAAGATATAGAAGGATGCAACAGCTAAAAGCTTAAGCTAGAAATTAGGCTTTTTGGGTGAAGTGTTTATAGGATGTTGTGCAGACCAGTTACTAGTCGCTCAACAAATCTCTGCACTATACTCCATTGAATTGTGTAATGAGTCAGGCAATACTTCAGTTGCCATGCTAGTTGCTTAATATTTTTATACTTAAGAGCCTTGTGGATTCTGCGTCATGGGAATCAATGATTATTCACAGATTTAATTATATTCAAGCTGGATGGAGGAAATCTTGTAGCTTGTGTTACTGGGTGGTGTTAATAGTCTTGCTCTCAATATGGTGCAATATGGCGTGATACTCCATTTCCACTGACCTATATATTGATAGGTGGGGCATGGGGGTTGGACTGTATAAACTCCAGCAACTTTAATTCTGTCATAAGTGTAAGGTGTCATTCTCTGATGGCAAGGCATAAATAATGTTATAAAAACAGACGGGATAGCAGTATTTTAAACTGAATGATATCTTACTCCACTAAGGTGGAATGGATATAAAATCCACTCTGTGTCTTTGAGAAGCAGATTTCCCCTTCTAGTAAAATCTAGTAAAACTTTGTTCCTTCACTTCTGTAAAAATTTAGTTATTGCATTATGAAATGTTAGAAAAACATGTGCGTTTTAACTTGGGAAAGAGAAAGCTCAGACAAGACAACAGTAAGCTAAACAAAAAGTAGTACCCTTTTTGGATCATAAAAGCCTAAATCAGCCATCCGACGCTGGAAGGTCTGAGTAAAGATACCTGGGCATTTTTGTGTGCGATGTTTCTTCCTTGACCAGCCAGTTCATCACATGCTTTGCTCATCCCTTCCTGCCTGGAGAGCAGGTGAGAATTTTATAAAAGGGCAGCTTAGATTTCTCAGGGATATTGTGAGACACTCCTGTTAGATCTTTAGATGGCAATGTGCTTTTGAAGAGTAAAGTATGAATATTAAATTGTTCTGTACAGGGGTACATTAGTGCTCTTGCTTTTCTACAGGTAAATAAGATTGGCCTCCTGACAGAGGTTAGATATTCACTGTATAGAACTTTATTCCAGATTTTCACAATTTATTATTAAGTAGCTTTGCCTTCTCTTCTTCCAAGCTAGTAACAAATATGAGTTAAACAGATGAATAAAATATTTTCACAAAGACATAGAAAAATTTCACTAACTTAAGGTTAGTTACTGTATTTTGGCTTCATTAGCACTAAAAATACTTACATTTTAGAGCAAAATGCATGAAGGAAATGTGTTTGTGTATGTTTGTGTGTCTGTGTTTAAACTTTCTAAAGGTTTAGTCCTTAGGAAGGGAATGGGGGCATGGGATCAGTTCTCTGCTTTCATCTAACACACAGAAATGGGGGTGGGAGAACTACAGTAGAGGAGGGCAAGGCAGGAGGTGTGGGAGTCCACTGGGAATCCCTCTGAGACATAATATCAGTAAGTGGCTCCTTTAGTCAAACCACACATTTGAGAGATTCCCTGGAAAAATTTTTTTAGCATGACTTAGAAATTTGCATGTATCCAAACTGTTTTTTATGGTCTTTGTGCTGTTGGAAATGTCTTGTTGCAGGAAAAAGATTAACAGGGAGTATAATTAGTCTCTGAGGTCCTGAAAGGTTTTGACCTGACTTTCCAATCTGTGGTGGAGTCACCATCCTCATCCCATGTGCTCCATCTGCTGGGCATGCTGTCAGGTTAACTTAGAGTAGACACTGTGTTTAGGTGACTGAGCAGGTGGTGACAACAATATATTGTATTTCTGAGTTATTTGCACTGCAGGTTTTCACCTGCCTTCATGCTTCTGAAGAACGTTTAATAGGCTTCTTTCTTCCTTGAATTTGGGAAAAATATTAGGGAGAAAATACAGTTCTTTGTTTAGAGCATGGACAGTTAGTATTGCCGTTTTCTAGGCCACAGAAATTTTATTTTATGCAATGTTTTTCTACTCAAGTGGTAAAATTTTTCTTGAGCAAATCATTATTACAAGTTCAGTCCTATGAGGATTTAGCAGGTAGAAGATTTGGGAGTGAAAGTGGGTGCAACTTCTAGCTTCCCCAGAAAACACATTAGTTGGACAAGAGACAGGTGCTTCTCATCAGCTTTATCTGCTCCAAGAGGTGAGAGCATTCAGTTTGTGAATTGAAATATAAATGAAAAACCCATAGTTTAAATTAAGGCCTGATTTTCACAAATGCTTCACAAATATTTTTTTAATGTATTTCTGTGGAACAAATGTGTTTATGACCATGAGTTGCACATTTCTGCTTTAAAGCAAATTTTACTATTTTGTGACTGGTTAACTATCAAAAATGTGCAAAAATCTTGAACTCTTACTTCCCCAGCATGAGGTTACCCAAAAATTAGTACTATTTTAAAATGAATGCTGCCTAGTCTGTGAGTTATTTTTATGTGTCTTCTGCTCTCAGTTATATTGTGCTTGCTTCCTACTTTTTAAGCATTTCTGAGGACTGGAAATGTACATTCTCATACTCAGAATTTAAATGTGCTGAATAGTGTTGGTAGATAATACATCACCACTGTTTGTGCCATGATTGTGGTGGCTCTACAGTGATGTAATCAATGAAATTAATGGTATGATAACTTGGGAGCTCCTGTTCTTCACAGTGCTATCTGAAATGTCAGAGAGCAGTTATTGTAGAGATCTTTGAGCTGTCCCTCCACAGACAGAAGTCACAGAGAATTCCCATCATCCTGAGTTTGGTCTATCGCAGAGGCTACCTTTGAAACTTAAAATCGCACAGGAATTGTTCTCCTCTTTCCTCTGTTGAATGTATGATTTCTAGTTTAACACTGACATGAGATACTTCTTGGAAACTTAAGATTTAAAGATAAGATACTTTCCTCAGTTGAAAGAGATGCAGGGATTTTTCATCAATCTGTTTTGTTTCTTTTTATGTGTTTATACTTAGACGTAGGTGTTTTGTCAATGTCTTCTCTCTCATCCTTCTAAGAGTCTTTAAAACTTATGCTCTGAATAAGGATTGCAAAACGTTGAGCTAAACAGGATTTGGGTGGAATGTGTGCTCCCTTTTCTGTATGTTTAACGCAAAAGTCACTTTGTTAAGCACCTTAACTCCAGCTAAACCTACCCTCTGAACTCAGAGAGCGACAACGTGACCAGCTACATCTGTGTCGTCCCCTTCAAGGAGCTGGGTCTGGGACTGAGTGAAGAGCAGGTATCTGAAGAGGAGGCGCACAATCTCACCGATGGCTTCAGCCTGCCTGCCCTCAAGGTAACCTCTCCTAGAAGGACACACGTGTCCGCACAGGCTCCTCGTGAAAATCTTTTGGTTGTCATGAAGCCCTGTAGCTTGTAGGTACCAACCTGTGCTGACACAGTCAACCGAGGGGTAGATGTAATCACTCTTATATCACGTGTTTCTACATTTATTGGCATTTAGGTGATTTCTTCTTGCATGTTGTTGAAGAGAAGTTTTACAATACGATGCGAGGAATTCTTTTTTTGCAAGTCGCATAAATTCAAGTCAGTGTTTTATAATCAGTTTGAATTTCCACCTAAAACATGATCTTTTGCTCTCCGATTTCACTTGATTCTAGCTGAGTCATTTCCAGATTTGTACTTACGTCTTTTTTAGCTAATCTCTTGACTTGAATAAAAAGATAGACATCCAAATATATAAATTAGCTGTAATTCCCAAAGGGAATAGCTTCATTTAGTTACACCAAGGAGTAGAAATCATCAGCTTAGACCACTGCTGCCATGAGCCAGTGTGGTTCTTTGATCTTTGGAAAACATTTAACTGAACAGAATGCCAACCATATAATGGCCTTTTTTATCTAGTTTGTTTTGAGATGTTAAGTATTTTTAGTTTGCATGAGTAAATGTTTGCAGTTGGAAAGAAGATCTAATTTGAATGCAAGCCTTCTACACTCTAATGGTTCTCTGCTGAGGCAATTCCCTTTTAATATTTTTTTTAATGGAAAATTCCTTTATTGTGTGACTTGTGTGTTTTTATGGGGTTGGCTCTTGTTGCATATTATTCACTTAATTCCTGGACCTTGACTTCTTTTGTTCTGACAGTAAATATTACCAGTAATAGTGGTTACTAAGCTTTGAGGCTTTGTCTAATTAGTTGTAAGCTAAGAGCTACATCAGATGTAAGCTTTTGGGGTTTTTTTCCTTGCCTTTTCATTAGCTGAAGTTATAATTGCAACCATGCAAGCCCACTTATGTACCCACTTCTTTTTAAGTACAAGAAGCCAGCCGGAGTTGCCCAAGCTTGTAAGTTAAGTCTTTGTTTACCTGCAATTTGGAGTAAATTAACTGAAATTTTTGGCTTGAAAATAAATACTGATCCAAGCTGAGGAGAGCCAGTTGGATGTTTTGGGTGAAGTTTAAGTGCCAGTAAAAATCATCAAAAGTCACTGGCAGAGCAAGCTATTTGCAACCCTAAATAGATTTGGAATTTCCTTTTCTCTCATCATTGTGCCTTTTTTCAGGTAGGTTTTTGGATTATTACGATCAGTTCCTGAAGTTCACTACTTCTGTGTGCTACTTTTTCACTGCTTTTGCCTTATGTCTGTTGAAAGGGATTGGTCATCTTTTTTGTTAATTATAGCATGAGCTCTTGACTTTCTGTCCAGGACAGCAGACCTTCTGGGACATTTGGGTGATTGCTGCCCATTTGTTTGCTTTTCATTTTAGCACCCAGCCAAATCACTGTCTTGCATGTGAGCCCCAAATTAAGTTCATATCATTCTGGTTTTTTGCTTCTCATAACCATCTTTTTTAATTTGAAAATTATTTTTTTATTTTGGAATGTTGTATCAGTTTGTATCCAAGTATTTTTTTATAAACCCTTGGGTATATCAGAACATATATATCTGAGGGCATTTAATTTTTTGTGTTACTGTTCTGAAAGTGTTGTTCTTGATTGTTCACACACTGGAAAAAACTGTTACTTGTTCATAATAGTATGAGTACAAAGATGTAAATATATTATCACAAATCCCATAGACTGAAAAGCTCAAAACAGGTATATTATTAGTCCTGTTCTGTACTTGAGGGGGGCAGAAAAAAGCATTATGAGTAACTGCTTTGTCTTCCTCAGTCTGAAATGCTTGAGAACAGATTTCAGACTACACCTCATGATCCCCTATAGTGGATTCCTTTGAATAAGGAACAGTATTGCATAGAAAAGTGTCATCACCTTTCCTTTTCATTTTAGAAATATAAGATGCTACTGTTCTGACATGGTCTACTGAGCCAACAGTCTTCTCTTAACTATGAAAATGCTTCTTTTCACTTCATTGGAAGTCGAAGTTCTCAGGGAAACTGAAATTGTGGGCTTCCTTGCTCCCAGATGGACTGACCTCTTTTGTACCATATAAAATGTTGTCAATAGATGTCATTTCTTACAAGTCTTTCCTCCTTAGTGGCACTGGTGAAATTTTTCACTTGGGCTGAAAAAAAAAAAAGTTAGCAGCTCAGATGTAAACTGTTTTTGGTTGAATTACAGTGCAATTAGACTCACATTTCAAGGTTGGGTGTGGGGCAATGCAGTAGTTAGTAGATTGCAGAAATGATAGCTTGGTGTTATAAAAGAAAAAATGTCTTTGCTGCCACTGGAATTTTGGCAGCCCTTTATGAGCTGTAGGGTATGTGGAGATTATAGCAAATAATGAGACTGCCTGATGAGAGGATGAATTTTTAGGACTCTGACAACCTTCTCTACAACTTCGTGAAAGGACACTGTAGAGAGGTTGGTGCTGGTCTCTTCTCACAGGTAATTAGTGACAGAACGAGAGGGAATGGCTTCAAGCTCCAACAGGGTAGGTTTAGATTGAACATTAGGAAGGAATTTTTCACTGAAAGAGTGGTCGGGCATTGGAACAGGCTGCCCAGGGAGGGGGTTGAGTCACCGTCCCTGGATGTGTTTAAGGGACGTTTAGATGCGGTACTGAGGGATATGGTGTAGGGGAGGACTTTGTAGAGCAGGGTAGATGGTTGGACTCGATGATCCCAAGGGTCTCTTCCAACCTCAATGATTCTATGATTCTGAGCATAATTGCATATAATATCCTTCATCGAAGAATTAACAGTCGCCTAAGGTTCACAAGATCTGAAACTCACATGGTCTACATTACCCTTCAAAAACATTCAGGGAATTTTCTCAGTTTTTCGAAGTTCTGTGGCTGGTCAAGGATTGTTTTCCCGTGGTGTGTCCGTACATTTTCTTTGGAGGCTGGCTGTCTTCCCAGGTGCAGAGACCTAACCCTCCCCCTGTTTTGCAGGTCCTCTTTCAGCTCTGGGTAGGGCAGAGTTCCGAATTCTTCAGGAGGCTGGTGCTGCTCCTCTCCCCAGCCAACGCATCCCCCAAGCCCTTGGTGTCCCCCGAGCGGCTGCCTCACCACATCTTGTCCGATGTGACCCAAGGCCTACCTCACACACACGCGGCCTGCCTGGAGGAGCTGAAGCGAAGCTACGAGTTCTATCGGTACTTTGAAACTCAGCACCAGTCGGGTTTTGAGCGGCCAGCCAGGGCAAAGCAGAAGTCGAGGGAGCTGAACAGCCTTCAGACGGCGGTACGCAGCTTGCAGCTTCACCTCAAGGCGCTGCTCAACGAGTAAGTTTCCACATGAATTGGGAGAATGTGCCTGTAGGAAGAAAGCTTCGGAGTTGAGTTCTACGGGTTGTCAGCTTGTATCCCAGCTTAAAAGCAAAAAAGGCAGATAAATGTAGTCGTTGCAATCGGGCACATCTTCACATAGTCTGGGGTCAAAGAGCCTTGGTTCAACGTGGAATCTCGTATTTTTTTTCCTGGTTATTCTTTCAGTATCAGGTGAAAATTCAAAGCTAAGCAGTGCATTAAGGTCTTGCCTTGCTTTTGTCGCTCCCTTGAAAAAATCTGAAAACATACTTATCTTCCATTGATTTCACAATATACCAAATGCTTTATAAGAAAGTTCAGCTTGTAGTAACTACCTAGGAAATATTTTTAAAGATTCGTCACTGCTTTGGTGAAATAGTTGACACTGTCCTACTCCTTTAATCTTACATATAAGAATTACTATACTGAGTGCAGGTGAGCAATATATCTTGACATGGAGAAAAGGATCTTGTTTGTAAAATCTTGGGGCATCTTTGAGGAGTTGGCTGAGTTAGATTCTTAAAACTTGAGTTAGATTCTTAAAACTTGAAGAAAATAACAGGATATGAAATTAAATACTTGAAGGAATGGTGAAGCCAGATATTTATTATTACTTATTTCTGTTCATCTCCTTATCACTTAGGGTAATAATTCTTGAGGATGAACTTGAAAAACTTGTTAGCACTAAGGAGACACCTGAGATGACAACAGAAGCCCATCAGGTTCTGGAACAAAAGCTAAGGTTTATTCAGCCTCATATTCAGGCAAGCAACAGCTGCTGGGAAGAAGCCATTTCTCAGGTGGAAAAAATGAGTGGAAAAAACTCAAATAAAAAAGGTAAATGTAAGAGATTAATTTAGCAACTAATGAGATACACTTTAGAGATGGAGTGGTCAAATGGATCAAAGACAGCGTTCAGCCCATGTATTTTAGCTGAAGAAAGTATGATAACCATACATTTTGAAAAACCATATACATGTGTCAGGCTTTTTCATTGTGATGACCTTGAAGCTTTTTTCATTTTCAGCAGAAAATGTAAACATATTAACTCTGTTAGACATGTGGAGTCAGATTGTTACATTTCCAGGTGTAGACCAATAGTGTCTTTTTGCCTTTGATCGGTGAATCCCATGTGATGGGGCAGGATTGTGATGAATCATCCCCAAGATTTTCATTTATTTACTGCATAAAAACTACATAGTTAATTGCAATGACGATGGCCTCATGAAACTTCCTTGATAGTGACATTTTCTGGAACATTTTAAATTGTAGAAGATGTATTGAGCATATATTAGCCATTTACATGCTCTCTCAGAGACACTGAGCTAATCTTCTGTGTGTTTAAAAGTCATACTGAGCAGTGTATCCCAACATTTTGCCTTATGTCCCTCCCCTTAGTGACCTGTACTGTCCATGCTGTTCTCCTTGTGAATCACAGCTAGCTTAAATAATGGAAGTAATAGAGCTTAGGCTCTCCTGATATGGTGTTGAACCTATAATTTCTAATCTTTCTTTTTTCCAGGAGCTTTTTGTACTGTCCTAGTAAGGCACAGCCCAGCATCTGAATAACGCTGGTAATGGAGACTGCATTAGGAAAATTATGACTTGGGCTATCAGCAAGTTACCTACAGAAATCCAAATTTGTAGTGAGCTAAGCTCTTAATGATATATGGGTGGGATATACAGTAGATGGATGGACGGACATTGCTGTGGGCCTAGCGGCGTGCAAGCTGACCGTGTTCATCCTTCCATCAGAACTGGGAGCACTGGGAGGCCTAGTGCAGGCTCCGTGCAGGTCCAGACACGGTGTAAGCAAATTTGTGTGTGCTTTGCCTGATGGTCTAGTCCTGCAACTTCCCTCTCAGTGCTGCCTAAACCAACCTATTGAGGATTTTAGATGTCGTCTGATACATCTGCATGTGCTGGCCTGTTGTGTTTTGTTAATGCCCTCCACAATCAGCAGTTCCACTGATCTTTTTTTTCCTCTTTCCTCAAATGTTCTTTCTAGACTGCATGCCATAGTATTTTTAGTCATTTTAGTTTTATTTTTATTTTGTGTATAAATTTCACAGCAGGCACTTTTATTATTACTTGCTTCCTTTTTAAGTGTAGTGCAAAAATAACTTAGTGTGTGATCTAGAAGGGAGGGATTGCGTGGGGAAAAAAAACCCTTCGCTTTCACTTTAGCCCAGTGACTTTCCTGGAAATGTGCTGGGGTTGAATTTCTATTTTGCAACAAGTTTACTGAATTACTTCACAGAAGCTACTTTTAAATTACGTTGCTCATTGAAAACTATTTTTATCTGATATCTTTATTTTCCTGATATATTTCTAAGCAGTTCAGCTTCTGTGAGTTGACCTTTTCAAGCTGTGCATGAAATCAAGTATAATTTTTCTGCTGTCTTACTACAAATCTTAACAGCCGGTCTGTCAGTCATGATTATCTGAATCACATCATTAAATTATTTTTTTTTTTTTTTTTTTTTTCCCAATGCTTCCTAAAAGCTCTTTGGAAGAAGATACCTTCCTGCTGAAACAATATAGTACATATTTCTTTTGTCTTTATGCACAGTTATCCAAAACCAAATCAATCCTTTGACAAGAGCTGTAGTGAGAACTCCATGGTAGTAAACATTGTGTCTTAAGCGGATGCCCAGCAGTTTTGCTGCCACAGATGTACAGTTCAACTACCTACTTCAACCAGTAGAAAAATGGGAACACCATTTTCAATGTCAGTTATGAGCACTGTTGAACAGGGAGCTGTTTCTGATGGCTTAGCCCCAGTTTTGAGAGGAAATGTGTCATTACATAAAAGCTGTATATATTTGGTAAATATTTTTAGCACTATCTCATAATTGTGCTTAGTATTTAAACAAAATAAGCCTTTTGCTTCTTCATCTGTAACTATAAAATGTATCCAGTATTTAAATTTACTATTTGCTTACGTTTCACTCTTACCATGTTTATATACTGGGTAAAAATGTATCTTAGCTTGTCCTTCTTGGTTCCTACTGCTCTCAGCATGGGAAGGTCTCCTTCCATGAGCAGTAGAAAGAAGCCAGCTCAGCAGTTGCAGCAGCAAAGGGCCCAAGTTGCTCCTCAGAGAGGAAGAAACTGGGAACTCACTGGTCCATTCAGCATCAGAGCGTTGGTGTTGAAGCAGGAGTTGAAAGTTTCCAACCACTGAAGAGCTGTTTTGAGCTGTGGGCTGTCCTAGCCGTGGCATCCTACGTAGCTGCCTAACGCTTATTTTTAGAGCAATTTTGCATATCTTTAATTATTTTCTGTACAAACAGCTAAGTCTTCTTCAGCAAGCACTGCATGCTTCTTGCTCTAAATCATTCTGTTTCAAAGCAGGTTTCTTACAGCTACGTTAAATAGTTTGTTATGTCAAACTCTGTCAAAGCAAAGCCTTGAAGACTAACTGAACATTCCTACACTCCCATCAGCCTTTCCTGGGTGGTGATACTAGTGTATATTTTATTATATGGTTTCTTTTGGGAATGCCGTTTGGCTGCTTTGTGTAAAGGACTTGGTGTATTTCTAGAACCGGCGCCGTTAGTCACTGATCCCATCAGACACACAACAGAGCCTGAGAGAAGTGAGGCTTTAGGACCTTGAGGGGAATTCATCTGCACTTAAATTCATTAGGCAATGATAGACTCACCTAGCGTTGATCTGCATGTAGGTCTTTGCTACTTTCAGCCATCTTCTCTTTATTCTTTCACCTTTTTTCACCCTGATAAAACTGATTTACCACTTAAGGCCTCAACAATTTAAGCTTGTAGTAACCTGCTGCTAATATTACAGAATGGAATACCCTTTATGGCCAGTTACAGTGTTGTTTCAATGATCTTTGAAACAATATCCCTCAAACTGTTTAAATTCCATCCTTTTTCCTTTTAAACTGTCTCTGTCTCCACAAATGTATAAAACTTTTTTAGAGCGAGGCTGTGGCACTCTGCTGCAAGCTCCTGGATCCTGCAGTCCTTTGATCCCCTGCAGCAGGAGTTTTAGTTAAAGACTGTGAATTTGTGATCTTGAAGTATTTCCTTAGCAATGGGATCATCCCATACAGGTGGCAAACAGAGCAGTCTGTACATATTAGAGCAGCTGGTTTACTCCTCTGATTTGGGGAGGCAATCTTTTAATTGGTAACTTCCATATACTCTTCCAAATTTGCCTGCATACCTTCAGGAGCACACTTCTATTGGTGCTGTCATTATTATTATTAAAATGCTTTTATTACAAGGCAGGTTATGCAATGGACAAGGGGACTTGATTTTTATAAAATAAATATCTCATGTCAATTTTCCACTTCAAATTTCACTACATGCTTTGCTTTTCTTTTAAACTTTGCGTTTAGATCGTTCTGGAATGATAAATCTTTATCTCAGCCCAGGTAACTAGGGAATTACATACTTGCCTTGTTTGCAAAAGCAGGCAACTGAGCACCACTAAGATTGTCGTTAATGTGAACTGCCTACATTCGGCATACCATCCCTAAGTATTCAATGTATAGCTTAGCAATTAAAAATGGGGATAGGTGGGGCTTGGCGAGGTCATCCAGCCCATTTCCTTTCTCACAGGTAAATTAGCATTTGTGACTAAATGTTGTTTACCTGTTCCTAAAATCCTCTCTTTAGAGACATTTTACAGTATTTCCAGGCATCTCTTCCAGCATTTAACTCTATTACCAGTAGAAGGTTATCACTGAATATAAATATCTCATGCTGCAATTTAAAAGTGTTACTTTTGATCCACCCACAATGAAAATCCATTTCCTCTTTAGAGCTCTTATGTTTTTGAAGACATAGCTCTTTATGAAAATATAGCTCTTTGTGGTTCTTTCTATCTTCTCTACTTGACTCTGTATCCTTCAACTCTACTCTGATGACTATATTTTATTTAGTCTTCTGATGATTTCCACTCTTTTCCCTCTAATTGATACACAGTATTATTGTATGAAGGAGCCCCCGACCGGGCACTATGTTCCATCCACAGCCTGATCAGTGCCAGAGTACAAATGTAATTTCATGTGTCTAACAGTCAGTGCTGTTGTTTACATGTACTAGCATTTAGTTTGGCTTTTTGCAGGGTATAGTTGACTGTGAGACTTCTCACATCTTCTTCTCAGTGGTGCTGCTCAGTCAGTTGCCATATATTTATGCATTTGACTATTCCAAAGCACAAACATTTGCAGCCACTGTCACCAAACTGCTGTATCTGAAATCTACTTCTTCCTGGGCTGTACCTCTCATTTTCCAGTATTATTTTTGATTCTAATTGTGCCCTTCAGCATCCTTGGAGATTATCCCCATGTCAGCAGATTTAATGAGCTGAAACACTTTGCTTTCACCCATTGGAAATATTAAAGAGTATTGGACTTGAGACAAATCCTCACTCAGTATATTGCTCTGGTCTGAAAATGGTAACTACACTGTGATTATCCAAGAGACTGTGCTTGCACCTAATAGCAGCTTCTCCTGGCCTGTGCATTTTCCTTATGAATATGTCGTGACACCGTGTCCAAAGCCATACTGAAAACAAAATGCAAGATGTCTTTGGCTTCTTTCTGTTCATCAGACCTGTTACTGCATTGGAAAATTAAATTGGAGTGATTTGACATCTTTTCCTCAATAAACCCACACTGGCTGTCACTTACCTCCGTGCTACCTTCTAAATAGCTTCCTGTAAATTTTGCTTGATTATTTCTTCCAGTATTTTCTAATCAGTTGAAGCTGATTTGCCTATAATTTTACTGCTTCACTTCTCTTTTTAAACTTGGGCACCAAGTCTCTTTTCTGGTTTTACTGATTTTTCTTGCCATCTGCAGGTTTTCAGTCTATAAAAATTTTGAGATTTGTTAGTTGAAGTATTTCAAGATAAGTGTCATCAGACACAGCTTATATCAAACCAGCTAAGTTACTTAAGTGCTCTCTACACACTGTTTCAATGTATTCTGACCAGCCTTCTCACCATTTTTTCGTGTGTGTGCCAGTCCTGCCTAATGAAAATGCCCGGACCCTGCCTGAGTGAGTCAAAGATTGAGTGTAGAATGATGGTTTTTTCTTTTCTTTTTCCCCCTAAAGGCAAACTTGAAGTTTCCTGTGACAACCTACAGCGTACTGCAGTACCTTTAACACAGCCTGCCATATACATAGAAAACAAAGATCCAATCCCTGAAGAGCAGGTAAAAAGAAAATAGGACCATTTAACAAAATGATTTGGGCTTGTTTGCTGTATCCACTCCTTTTTCAGTTGCTTGTACAGTGACTACTTTGTCTTGCCAAGACAGATCAAGTAGGTAGCCAATGCCATTTCATAATTGGACTTGTAGAAAAAAATTATGTATATTCCTTTTGCTGTTCCTTGGGGAGGTACTCCCCATCCTGGAAAAATGAGCGCTAGCATTCACTTGTTATATATTTACAATTTATAAACATATATATTATATAGAAATAAGTGACAAACGGAGAGCAGCAACACAAGTCAAAATATATAGGGAAAAAAATACGGATCGCTAAAAAACTGTATACAAAACAGAGTCCTGCTTGCATATTCTTAGATGAACTGACACAGCTGTAAAAGGAACAAGCTCCAGAATAGACCAAGTTGTCTTCAGCTTGAGTAATCTCTGCATTTTTGGATACCTAAAATAGACTGCGACACTGAACAGTTTTGAGTAGTTTGGGGAACTCGTGTGTGATGGTTGGGCTGTCTTGAAGAGAGGGAGGCCTCCTACATCCCAGAACGGAGTGGCAGGTGCATTCTGAAAGCAGATTGAACACCCGTGCTCTGCCCTGTCCCTCCACTGCCTTCTCCCGAGCCTACCCCACATGTATTCTCTCCAGATTTTTTTCCCTATCAAAGAGCTAGGACTAATAACTTTACTGGCTGTCTTTATAACATAAAGGGAGCTCTGTTTTTTCATGCATGTAAGCCAATATACTTAAATTGGAGTAGGAGTTTGCTATTCTCAACATTCTCTTAATAAGGTTTTACATAAGTTAAATTAACAAGATGCCTGACTGAGGAAGAATTGCTTATGGTGTAAAACTTTTTTTTAAAAAAAAAAAAGAAACCCGCATCAGCATTGCTTATTTCCACCTGTAATTATGCAGGAAAGGACTCCCATTTTCAAGATGTATCACTTGATCATATTTGTGTATGGAAGTAAATCTCGGGTGGCTGCAGTAATGCTAACTTCTAACTTCCAATGAGGGGATGTGCTCCGCAATTACACAAATATAACTAAGAGCAGCGGCAGATCCATCAGTTGTGCCCAAACAGGGCTCCATCCTTTTACTGTGGTTGGCTTGTGCTGAGATCACTTGGTCGTGCATCAGACTGTGGGACACACTGTCAGTGGAGATCAACATTTTGTTTCTTTCTTTCTTTCTTTCTTTAGGAATTGGAAGCCTATGTTGATTTTTCAGACACGGAGAATGAATACAAAAGGGAAGATTTTTACTGCTTTTCCCAGGAAGAAAGAGAGAGACAAGAGAGAGAGAGACAGGAATCTAAGAGAGTGTTACAAGAATTGAAATCTGTACTGGGATTTAAAGCTTCAGAAATAGAAAGACAGAAATGGAAACAGCTGCTATTCAGCGACCATGGTAAGCATTGCTTTTGGAAATTAATTCCTTCCTAAGAAAGGGTAGGTGTCTGCTTGCCATCAACTTCTGCCTAGGTTAGAATTCGGACAGTGCTTAGCTATAGCAGTGCCTTCGATAGAGCTGGGGAGCCTTAGTTTGCCATTCCATCTCTTTGTATTACTTGTAGCAATCATTTTACCATATATTGAAAAGAGCTCAGAGAAATGGGGATTTGGCTCTAAACACAATACTGAGCTAAAATATTAAACACACAAAATATTAAGAGAGTATAAAAAGAACTGTCAGGTTATCAACCATACCAACTGAACTGACTTTCTTTCATGGCTTTCCAGTAAATATGAATTTTAATCAGGGTGCATAAATAAATTACTTTTCAGATTTTAAAGAAACCATCAGAAATTACCCTAGACTTACAAAAATATATAGGTTAAAGGGAAGAGCTAGACTTTGAAATATTAAAGGCTCATAAATGAGTAAGACTGACTTTGTTTACATGAGAGAGTGAGTATATAGAATATGTTTTAAAAAAAAAAAAGAAAAAATACTAAAAAAAGAGTTAATCCAAACTAACTCTGAGGACTGCTGGGTAGCTCCATCCACTTGCACTTGAAAGCAGGAATGTGACAATTTCTCTTGCCTCAGCAAGACAGTCTGTCTCTGTTCCAGCAATAAAACTGGATACAACTTCATTCTTTTCACTGCTTGAGCTGTTTCATTTACTTTATTTAAAATTGGCGGTGGTTTTTCTTTTCCTTTTTCCCTTCTTCCCATTTTCATTCCTTCCTCTTAAAAACAGATTAGAAAAAGCCCTCTAAACACTTTCATGTTCTAAGTTAAGAAAAACAACCCTCAAGTCTGGTAATATATCCAAAGATTCTGCCTCTGCCAGTGTCTACCAGAAAAAAAGACCATGGATTATGTCTTTCAATAATTCAGTGGGAACACACAGTAACAGACCATACCTATTTATGACACTGTTTCTTTTAACATAAAACCCACAATAACACCTGTTCTTCACAACTTGCTTCTTTATGTCCATTTAGCTAAACTATGTTAAAAGAAATCACTTGGCCATTGGTATTGACTTCTCTCCTAGTTGAATTAAAAAAACCTAAGACATCAGATTGCATCAGAGTCTGCTCAAAAGTAGGATTTCTGTATTACCCTTCTGGTGTTAGACATGACACCACACAGCTCTTCACATAAATCTCTTCAAGTCTTCCTTTCCTTTCTGTTGAAGAGAGAAGGAAGGAATCCTACCTCCAGATCAAGTCTTGACAGATCTAGTGACTGCTGGAGAACGAGTTCTTGTCAGGAGCACTTGCATGGGGTATTTCCTTATCTGGATTAGTAGCTGATACCTGTCCACATCAGTAAATCCTCAGGCCACTTGTAGCCATAGCTGGAAAGTATCAGCTGACTCCTGTAGTCTTCAACAACTGTTCATCTGAAAGCCTTCATGGCTCATGTTGGTTCCTTTCCAGGTATAGATATTACATTGTTTTAGGATTAGAGATTCAGTGGTGGGGAGGGAGGAAAGTCTGATTTCCTCCAGCTGCCTAGGGCTAATCATTGATTAGTTCCATGCTGTACAAAACTGGAAAACATGAGGGTTGTTCATGAAGGTAATTAATATTGTCTCCTTTTGGCTCAGAGGCTGCATGCATCTAATCTTAAAGATTGATACGGGCACCAGACATAACATCTTCTACTGGTTTTTAAAGAATTTCTTCATTATTTCTTCAAAAGAAACACAAGACAGTTAAATATGACATAATGGACCCTGGCATATTAGAGCTGCACATTTTAATTTATCCATGCGGACGAGTCATTTCTTAAAGAAACATTTTTGTGAGCTGTGCTTTCCACATTTGTGGCTTGCTTTATCTTGAAAATTGAAACCCAGAAAGGTTCATCTTCTTGTCTCTGTTGGCCCAAGCCAACGGATGGCCATGATATCACACTTTTCCATAGCCTCTTAAATCTTGCTTTTACAGGCTGATTATATTCCAGAAATCCTGTGTTTTCCTAACTTGTGGTTATTGTGAAAAAAGATCCTGGAATATTCAAGGGCTTTAATCTGTTAGTCAAAGCACCCAGCAAGCCATTCTGATTTCTTAGGGTTTTTGGTTGGTTGAAGGAGGGGCTGGTGAGGGCTTCCACATAGAGAGGTCGGCTCCAAACACGTTGATGCATCTAAAGAACACCGCATGGAGTCAACTGGAGATGACAGGTTGGGTTCTAGAAGAAAAGCATCATTTTAGCAGAGCACCAGACCAAAGCAAATTTGCCCAGGGCCAGCACCATAGTAATTCTGCTTACAGTCTGGGCAGAAGTTAATTTATGGGGATATAGGTGAGCTTATATTTTTAGTCCTTTGGCACCCTGTTGAGCCAATAAAATTAAAGGGCTTTGGAAGAGGTCTGTGAAGTTCTTAGTGGCTTTGTTTTAATTTGTCAAACATTGTAAAACAACTTCCTTCTGGTGCAAAATCAGTCCTAGCCCCTCCCCTAACCTCTCCCCCCATTAAAAAGTTCATTCTGTCAGTGGTTGTGTTGTACCCAGCTGTCTCCCCTTCTCCCACCCTGTGCATACAACACTTCTTATACAGCCATTTCTCTGTTTTGGAAAGCTACACTCCGAGAATTGATTAATTCTGCCTTACTTACTAACTAATCAACTAATTGGCCAGCTACCAATCTGAAGTATCTATGCAGTTTCGAAAAAATTTTGGCTTTGAAAGTATTCTCTGGAGGAAGTAGGCAAGAAGTTTCCTCCCATATGATAAGATTACTGTGCATATTCCTGCCTTTTCAAGCAAATGGGCAGAAATAAGCAGTAGCACGTTTTATACAAGATGGGGAAAGAACTACCCCGTTAACAATTGAGACGAGCCTGGTGCAGTGCTCCTTTGGTGTTAGGTAAGGTTTTAAAATAAACAATACATGATGAATTCGAAGCCACAGTCTTTCGGTGTGCTAATGGCAATAATTATCAGTGTGACAACCGGAATGATGCGCCTGCCTTCAGCTAGCTAAAGTAAATATTACTGAAATAGGATGCAATGGAAAAATCCTAATACTGTAAATTTTGTTTCCCGTGAAAAGTTTGTCTATTTCCCGGAGTTATTTTCATCTCTGCTTACAGGGGTAAAGGCAGAATGGAATTAGAAAGGGAAATGCCACTTGGGAATCTGCTGTTGCCGCTCTCATTTATGTTCGTGCTGCTACTCTAATGGAGCTACTGCAGTTTAGGGAATCTGTTACTTGGAAATGGACATTATATCGTTTTCTTAAAAAGAAAAGACGTCTGTTCTTCAAGAAGTGATTGTACCGAGTTATACTAACCCTTAACACTGGGAGGAGAGACTTCCTGGCAAGCATCCCGTTGCTGGCAATGGGACTCGCTGCTGCTACTAACTTCAAGAGAGGCTAAATTAAACCACACTTTAATTGTGAGGACACCTGACCCGACTGTATGAATACGTGTTGTATTTAAATGTCGTGATGTATGAGATCAGATAATGCCTATAAGGACTTTTTCATGTGACAGCTGTCTTTATTGGATTAGGTAAACTGTTGTTTAAAATGAAGACAGTTCAAACCTGTATACAGTGCAGTAGTTTTACTTGTTTTTTTCTTTAACATTGAATGCATCGCTTGTGCTTGATGTTGGTTTTAAACATCACCAATTTTGTGCTCTCTTTGCATAACAGATTTTAAGGAGTAGTTGCAACAAGTAGCTATCACATTTCACTTCAGCTTTGTGATTAGAAAACACTGTTTTATTTTAAGTTTTGCTTGATTGTGTTTTTTATTTCTGTTGTTTTGGTTTTTTTTTAAAGCCATTTTGACCCTTTACAATTTTGCATCTTTTCAGACACAAATAAATTATTTCTATATAGCAGCTTGCTTTTAGTTATATTTTTTTTTTTCCCCCTTTTTAAGCTGCAGTGAAACCCTTGTCTCCTGTAGAACCACTGAAGCTACTAAATAATTTGGAATCACATATGAATTCAGATACAGAAAAGCAGGACTGCAGCCAAAGTTGTGATAAATCAGAAGAGAAAGACTCTAATCCAAAAGTGAATGCTGCTGATAAAAGCAGGACAGAATATTTGTATGAAGACCCTGAGGTGGAGAAAAACACAGACAGTACTACTGAAGAAGATAATTCAACAGGGGCTGAAGAAAGAGTGTATTATCAGCATGAAGGGGAAGTTGAAGAACTCAAGCCAAGCAATATGGATGGAGTAGAGGTTTCACAGTCTCCCTCTAAGGATGTATTACATTCAAAAATCAAGCATAGGCTGGCCCAGCTCCACATATCAACAGATTTAAACTTCACATCTGGTCTGGCTGCACAAGTTGCTGCCAGGTCTTTCTCTTTTACTACAATGCAAGAAGAGACTTTTGGAGATGAGGAAGAGGAGGAGGAAGAGAAGACAGAGGAACATGAAGACGTTGTAGAGGACTGTGAGAATGAAGGTAGAAGCTCTGAAAGTGAAGGAAAAGTATAAGTTTGAGCTGAATTTTGTTATAACCAACAGCAGGCAATTTGATGGAAAAAACTAAGGTGGGGGGTTGAAAATGAAAATACTGGATGGAAAAAAGGAGACATAAATATAACGCATCTTGTTCCCTAAGTTTGATACACTAAATAGGACTTCTAAGTATATTGAAAAATTGCAGGTAAGAAAAGTTTAGGCTGCATCCAAGAAATAGTTGGCTGTTGCCTTTTTAAGATCCTAGTGATGGGTTTTGGAATTTACCTTTATAGTTTTTGTTTTATTTATTTATAATATAATGTATTGTGGTGGGTTTTTTTCTAAAAAGAAGGAAAAACAATGTCTTGAATTACAATAGACTCAATTTTTTTTTTTGCTCTCTAATTCTGTTATGATAACCATGTTTGTTCCAACAAAAAAGCCAGGACATTTCTTTTGGAAGAACCTGAACTGTTCCCTGTGATCTTCCCCCACCACTTTCCTTTCACTTCTTGTGTCTGCAGCGTGTTGGCTAAGCCACCGTAGGCATTTGTGATTCTGTGGCTAGTGATGTGGCTCCCAACTAAAATGTAGAATTTTAAATAAAAACTTGAAAGAGCTAGTATTTGATGTGTCCTGGGGTATGGGGCTGAAATAGAATAAAGTTAGTCATGCTTCATATTAAGGTTTAGTTAGAATTTTATGAAGGGTTAATAAATGATTCCTAGATGTTGTAATTCATGTTAGAGAAACGTAGTATATGTTAGGGAAGGTTATAAGCACATCAGTAGAAAGTACTATAGACGGCTAGAAGCTATCTGTTGGATTGATAATAAATGAGAAGTAAATACCTATTTATTAAAACAGCTATTAATTATTTGTTAACCTTTTGTAAATTGAACCTTAATATAATGTTTGATTTGATATAATGATTGATTGTACATCTTTGGTTATGTCCTAAACTAATTTTCTTAAAGCGAAGTTATCTGAGCACTTATCTTAACAACATATTTTGTTTACTTAACAACAAGTATTTTGTTTAAACGCCATACTTGCTCTTCCCTCATGTTCTTTAATTTTTCCTTAGATCACAACTATAACCCGTGTGAGTAAGAATCAGTGGGAGAACAAGAACCGTGTATTTTCTAAGGTCTGGCTTGTAACTTAGTTGACGCCAGAGTCTGGATGTTTGGTATGAGGTTCTCTGGGTTGGATTTTACTCTGTGGTGGTGTTACGAGGGGCAGCAAACTGCTGCTCACCTCACGGAGGGGCTGGTTGAGGTCTCTCTGCCTTCTCTTCCTTTTGCTCTCTGGCACAAAACGGAGCAAAGGTCCCATGTCTCTGATGGCAAAAGAGCCACGTGTCCGTATGGCATGCTCTACTTGGGCCTGGGTGTATTTCCAGTCACAAAACATCTCACCAGTTACTGAGAGTATTTATTGCCTCTTGCTGGTTCTGTAGAATAAAGGGTATGTTAGATGCGAGTGGTTCGGAGCAATATCTGTCCTTGGATGCTTTCATGGCAAGTGGGGAAGATAACGAAGGCCAGCAGGTTAGGGTGGAACTCTTGACCGTATGTCAGAAAACAACCTCCCTCTCTTTTACTAGTGATTTTTTTATGAATGCTGCTAAATGGCTGGATTTTCCAATCCCATGGCAGGGGGGTTGAAACTAGATGATCTTTGAGGTCCCTTCCAACCCTAACCATTCTATGATTCTATGATTTTTTCACAGACCGTGAAGAGGTAAATATCAATTGATAGAGAAGGGAGTATGTGACTTACACTGTTCTCTCATCATGTAATAAATGCCTGTCTTCTCCCTCACACACAGATTTTGGGAAGAGAATGTTTTGCCATCGTTCATTAACCAGTAACACTGTGTTCTGTGCCCTTAATTTTGTGTAAGTGACTGGAAGCTGAATGGATGGTGTCTTGGGGAACTTGTAGAAGAAAAAAAAGATGCTTCTCATAGTGTATTCAGAAGCTAAGTCTCCTCTTAGTGGTAGAGTATATTCTTCTGTGACCTGTAAAGGTTAGGCTAAGGTGATGAAACACTGTTTTATTTTCTCTGTGGTAAGCAATTTTTTAAATCTAGAACAATTGCTTTGGATAAATTGTGTTTGAAGTATTGTCCACGCTTCTAAAAAAGTCTTCCTCATCCTTGACTTGAGATCCTTGCGTTCACAAAGTGCCCAGATATTTTTTGTTCCTAGCTAATTGCTCTGACCACCTAAATGTATGTTCCATTAATACTTTTCCATTAGCTCATCCACCAGCACCTCATGATCTGATGTTGTGTATCCCAGAAATGATACTTCTGAACTTTTCCCATGGGATCCAAATCTCAGTTTATGAATGTGTATGGCTATGATACCAATCTGGAAAAATGATCATATTTAGGATATGAATTATCACTGTCCTCACAGTTTTGGGTGAAGTCAGTAGTAGCCTGAGTGCTTTGCATCGCTACTAAAATAGGTTTCAGATCTCGCATTTATAAAAGTTGCTAGTTCTTTATTCCTTTGCCACAGTCCTTAGCAAAAGACCTGGAGAATCTACTTTGGTGGCTGACTTGGGACCTAGTTTTATATTAGGCTGGTCTTGGTGATGAAACTGGCCTTAAGAAACTCCACCCGTCAGTAGTTTTTCATTTTCACCCACCAGCTGGGTCAACACAGGTTTGTGTGGCCATGTTATAAAGCTGCTCATGAGCCCACTTGGGTGAAAAATCCACCCTTTTTAGGGCTTCCTTCTTAGCATTCTCACTGCAGTGCTGCAGTTTCCAGCAGTTACCTGTACACAGCAGCATCAGCACACACTGCGGTGCTGGCGTCAGACTCGGGATTGCTCACATTTACATGATTGGCAAAAATGGCGTAGTGTGAAATTTCAGCCTTGACAGCAGACATGGGCAAGATCAAAGGATGACTCTTTGGAGCAGGTTCTGATCCTGCTTTGAACAAATAGATTTTCTACAAGCAATTTAACTGATTTTCGTGGTATTACTTAATGCAGTCTTAGAAGCTGCACATATGAACACCTGGGCTCACTTGCTTTCTCTGCCTCTCATCACATCTATATATAACAGCCATCGGGTCATTTATTTTGATTTATTTAATGTTCTCTCTCCAGAAAAACATGGCTAACAGTGTACAGCACACAAAGCATGGCTTCCCTTGATTTGATAACCAGGTCTCATCTACACGCAAATCGTCTGTTATAATCCAGATTTTCTCATAATTATGTCCTTTGAAAGTACTGTGTGTATATGCTGTACATCTGCTGACAGGTTTCTTGGCAATCATAAGTTATTGTTGCATTTCAAATAATATCTATAAACACACTGAAGTGTGCATTAGCGCTAAAGAGTTGTGTTAATATATTGAGCACGTTGAGGTCTGAGAGCTGTCCTGTGTTCTTTGGCTCATTACCCTAGATAGGGAATTTTGTGAAAACAAAACATTTACTTCTTAGAGCTTTGTAACTTTTTGAAACATGTTAATCAGGAAATCCACACTAAATAACAAGTTATGCCAAAGGATATCAGCAGCCAAAATTCTTGCGGAGAGCAGAGCTAACAATAAATACATTTTGCCCATTCATTTCCAATTGGCAGCTCTGTGAAGATGTAAAGAAGCAAGTAATTATATAGGGTTAAATAATTTCTTTTCCTTCTGACGTACCCGGAAGGCTCTCCAAAGGCAGTATTTGCTTCTTAGGTTGGATTGCGATCTAACGCTGCATGTTTTACGTCACTTAACTCTACAGCTAAAGATCTAGGTAAAGACTTAAACGTGGACAAAGATCTATGATAAAAATATTATTTGTCTCCTCTTTCTTAAAGTGTATGTCTTCATGACAGAAATGAAACAGTGCTGTAATGGAAGCAAATTTTGAAAACCACAGATAATCAAGATTCTTTCAAATGGAGTCAAACGTGCCTGTGTCAGCAATAAGCAAGATTCACAAATATGAAGGCTTCTGCTATCGGTTGCAGTAACGAGACAGTTTTACTCCTGACAGAGCATTACTAGACATCACTGCATCTTGCACTTAGCTAAATACGACGAAATCTGGTAGAGCAGCCAGTTTTACTGAGGTTTCAGACTTTGTCCTGAGCACACCTATCTCTGTGCGACCCAGCTCTCTGTGTACAGACTAGAAATTTTATGTGTATCTGAAGTACAGAATTTGCAACTGTCTTATTAATTTCTTTGTTACTGAAAAAACATCTAAATAGTGGACTGTGCAGGTCCACACTGAACTTTCTAATTTTGTAGTCCATCCCTTTTTTCATTTTTTGCCTTATTTTTAGCAGAAGCAAGGGGTCAAGTATAGTAAACTGCCCTTGTTCTTTAAAGCAGTTAGTGAAGGGCTGCTGTTGCTCTGCAAGTGGCTTGTTCCTGGGGCTAATTAGTCTTTAGAATTAACAGGTTTTCATAGTGTCTGAGTGGGAGAAAGGCACTTGGTCAGTGTAAAAGGTCAGGCCACTCTGGGATCTTGTCTGTGACAGGGCGTAATAGCAGATGCTGAGGGAAGAGTATGAGAAAAGGGAGATGTAGTGATGTTTCCTCAGGCTACTCCCCAACAGTTTGTGGCTCAAGGACTTCTTGAGCCAGTGGTGGTGGCTGTCAGCTTAACAGGTCCCGATGGAGTTCTCCTCCATAAATTTGTTCAGTCTTATGTTTGGTCAATTATTACTAGTCCCAATGCCAGTATGCACTCGTCTTTATTGCAGTATTTTACAAACTAGGAGATTTCTCAATAGTGTTTTTAATTTTCTTTTTAAACTGAGCAAACCCACTTCTCTTAGTCCTTCCACAGAGGTCATGTTTTCTGCCTTTTGGTAGAAATCTGTCCAGTTTTTGGAGTGTAGTGACCCAAGTGTGGTACAGTACTCCAGACGGAACCTCAGCAGTGCTGAGTATGGAGTAATAATCACCTCTGATAAAACACTGAACCATTCAAATATATTTGAATCCATATAAGAAAAAAATCTTTTCAGATCTTTTACCCCTAGCTATTTAGGATGACAAATGAAAATATTTAGTTTAATGGAGGAGAAATATTTATTCACTGTCAGCAGGATTTGGCTGGACGATGTTTTTCTTTGCTAACAAAACACAAAGTTGTTAAATCTTCCAACAGCTGCCACCTGGTCTAACACAAACTAAAGAAGCCAAACAACACTTGTTTAAATTTCAGCTTGACTTTTCAGAGCTGCTCTGATCTCTGATGAATAAGCACGTATCACAAAGTATACTGTCACACAAGAATATGGCTATGTGGGTATCAGAGATCAAACTGAAGGCTTCTGTGGCTAATTTTTAAAATGCTTGGAGGTGTGCTTTATTCATATTCTCATGATATTTAATTCCCTCCTGCATATGTTTCTGTTTTACCACCTTGAATTTTAAATGCCAAAAAATACACTTTGATTTATTTCACTTGGAAATCTGTGCAGTTATCAGATAAGTGGTAACGGTACTGTGACTGTGATAATAAGACATGGTCATAAGCAGGTAAAATCTACCTACCGTGACCTTTGCTTTGTAGATGGACACACAATATAATCTGAGCTGCAGATCAGCATGTAACTGTTCATGATATTCTGCCTCACCTTTCACGCTGCCATCTCTTACGTTACTTGCGGATTTGTCAGAATAAAATTTGATCCAACAACTTGAATGCTCTGTGAGCCCATTTTACGCTTTCTAAGTTGAAGACAGGATTCTGAAGAAGTGACTATAATTTAGTAGATGAGGAAAAAGGGTTTGTTTCTCTGTTGCAAAGTGGCTTATTTTAAATGGGTTGAATGGGACCAAAACTTGAATACTTTCACGTAATCAGCATATTTTTTACCTTTTTACCTGCTCGGCTTTAAATCTTAAAGGCCTCACGGACATTTTGCTTTAGGGGATGCAGTCCTACAGCAGCTTAAACCAATCCAGGTCCAGGCTGCCGTGGCCCTGCAATCTCAGTCCCTCCTTTAGGCTGGCTTTTGTGACCACACAGTGATTTAGGATGCCGACCTGGCTGAAAACGCACCACTTTCACTTTCAGCTGGCTCCCCCAACTAATTCATCGGGTGGTTGAAAGAGCACTAGTGGCATCCCAGGGGTGCAGGAGGGAGTACACGCCTGGGTGATGAAGGAGGAATGTCATAGCCCAAATTTACATCAGTTTGAATTAATGTTTACGTGCTGTGAGTTGCCATCGTTAGTGTCTGTACTGGAGTGAGATAACGCAACTCCGTACGTCACTTCCTTCATCTCCATATTTTCTGTTGATTGAGGATGATGCCACTTAGTATTTTACTCACTCATTTTGACTCCTCCATTGTTGTTTGTTTTTCTTTTTTGTTCTTCAGGCCTAGGCTGCCCCAAAACTGCTTTGTCTTACTCTGTAGAGCCTGTAAGAGCTGTCTAGTGTACTGCCAGTAAAACTGGAATTATCATGCACATCTTTTTCTTTTTTCTGCTTACTGTTTTCACCTTTCTGGTCCCTGTGACACACACAGTCCCCACCCTTTACCACGACTCTTAAGAGTTTCAGATTTTAAAATAATACATAAATTCTTTTGTGTGTATTTGTAACACAGCTTGACTCTTCTGTATCTTCAGCAGCTGAATGACTAGATCTAGAAATTTATACTGACTGTCCCAGTTGACTTGAGGACTGAAACAGAAGGTGGACACCATAACGGGGAGTACTACAATCAAAACAGAAATACTAATGTATGGTAGCCCAAATTTATACTGTCCTTTTGGTCTATATTGGCTTTTATAAGTAATTCTATCTTACTGAAAAACACCGGTTGTGTTTTAGAAATAACTGCAATTCTAGTACAATGTCCCAAAATAAGTGTTATTAGCGGGCTTGATTTGTGCTCAAATCTTAATATTTAAAGACTGCTTCCTGACCTGCTCCAGCTGCATGGATGAGAAAATAATCTCAAATTTCCAAATAGAGAGTGACCAATGCTTTCCGTTACTTTGTGCTATTAAAGAGGCCCATTCCTAAATAAACAAAGAGAGAAAAGTCAGTGCTTAATATCTTCAGTAGTCATTACTAACAGAGAATCATGCATTTGATCTCAATAGAAGCACCATAAATGAGGTCTGTTTATGATGTTTTATATCAGTGTTTCTAAAATAATAATAAAAGGCTTTAAATGTATTATGGGATAAAAGCCAGAATTGTATTAATTGTCCTCCAGATCTTTCATCCAAAGCCACAGCTGGCCAAATTTAAACAAGTTCAAGCTGTCTATTCCTGAACTGCTTGTATGACATTGTACTCAAGGTTTTTAATGTCCTTGCATGAGTGTTCACAGACAGCCTGCGTGCACCTATGTGCTGGAGGTCTGCAGAGCTTGCAGGGATCATGGAACAGTGCTATGCAGGAGCAGGAAGCCTCAGAAAGATTTTGGGTTTATTGTCTCTGTCTTCCTCTATTGCAGAATCCACGCCATATGCACTCCCACTCATAAACTTCTTTCCTTCTCAGCTTGCTTCTTCATAGACCATACAAACCAATTGTGGAGGGGTGTTTTTTGTTTGTTTCTCACCTGGGTTACTATCCTATAATGCACCAGGTAATATATTTCCAATAGAAGCTTAAACATTAGTACAAAATAGAGGGCCTGGGCACACAGGGGCTGGAGAAGCTCTTCCAGTTTGACCACTTTTGGGAAGAGTTGTACTGAGATGATTGACTATGAGGGTGCTGAGCTAGGCTCCATGACTCTGCAGGTATCTTCCAAAGCTCTGGTTTTTGCTAAGTCCATTCTTTCCTCCAGTGGTATCTCTTCCTTCTTAGCAGTCTTCAGTCAGCAGCAGCTGCTGCTTCTCGGTGGCTCTTCCCCAGCATTCTTCTGCCAACTCTCTAAGGACTTGGCCACTTCTCCCCTTTGTTGCTCAACCCATTGTCTAAATTTTATGAAACAGCAGGTCAGATGGAACCCCCACCGAGGTGCTGCTGCTCATTCCCAGTCAAAAACTCACAAACCAAAGGATTCTTAGGGCTGGTGACTTGTCTGTCCTGACTTTCCTTCCAGGGAGCTTTGACCTCCATTTCAGCCTGTCCACTCCTATTCCTTCCTGGACTCCAGAGCATTCACTTCCAGAGGACTCCCTCCTAAATGACCATAAGATGGTAATGTCTTCCCGGCAAGACTCATCCTTGAACACACATTTCTCACTACATGAGCTTTCCTTGTTCCAGACAGTTATGGCTGAGTCTGTGTTGCCCTAAAATAACCTTGCATCTTCCTGCAGTAGGGGCTGGAAACAAGCTCTCCAGATGCTGTGCCAATGTGCTTTGGCTCCACAGCTGCCCAGCCTTGAGCTCTGGAAGCTCTGGGATCTAGCAGTTGTGCTTAAACCTTCCCCACTGTCAAAGAGCATGTGTTTTCAGAACGCAATTACTACTGAATCTCCCCTGAATTGAACCATTTTGGTTTTGTTGAGCAGCATTAATTTGAGGGGTTTGTGTGAGTTTTATATATAGACACACACTCTTCATATTTTACATGTATATTGCCAAGTATCGCATTGAAAGGCTTGTCTAGTAAAAAGCTATTCTTCTCATATCAAACTTCCCAGTTACTTACTTAGAAGGTAAACAAAAACCTAATTCTTATGATCTAATGGTAAAAGAACCGGATTCTGTTCCACCAAGAAGGCTGTGTGGAGGTATTTAAAATGCACACTGATTTTACACCTTTAATTAGAAAAGCCATTGAACCTTGTTATCTCTTATCGAGGCTCTGCACCTGAGCTGCTGTGGGTTCCTGCACGCCCCATCTGTCCTGTCTTAAACACGTGAACAAATATATGTTCCTCACCATTTCCTGCCTGCTCGGTCTTGGCGTTTCCCAAAACAAGCCCTGACAGCACCACAGATTGCCAAGGAAACCACAGGGAAGGGAAAGAGAAGAACCTTGATAAGCTGCTGTTTAATTGGTTAATAAATGCGGGCTAAAATATAAGAGGAAGTGTTTAAAAGAACAAACTGCAGCAGGAGACTTCTGGCAGGGCTACAGAGGGAAATCACACGTGACACACTCTGAAGTCTGCAGACACTGGGAAGGATCCACAATTTCTCTTCAGTATGGAGACAGGAAACGTTCACCAGACTGGCAGTCTTCAGCAGCTCTTTAAATACCTCTATTTTATCTAAATTTTGTTTCCACAGAAGACTGTGCTGGTGTATCAAGCTGCATGTAAATCAATCTCCACATCTCTTCCTTTAAGCTTTGTATGACGTCAGTCTCTTTCCTTGGACTGCACTGAAAACCCACATGGTTTGGCTCCACTGGGAGCCTCTTCTGCGCTTACCTGCCCGTTGCTGACACTGCTTTAGACCAGCCTCAAGCAGGTTTAGGTCAGCAAGTCTTTAGATCAGGTGTGAAGCTGGTGACTGGCCCTTTTAAGGCTCTGAGAACTAAGATTGTGGCGCAGATGTAGGCAGCAGCAGGAAGACACTCCTGGATTCTGCCCTTTCTTTGTGATAGGGTTTCTTGCCTGTGATATTTTCCCAAACCATTTTATTTCTCTTTTTCTTACTTTCCCATCCTACCTTCTTCCTTTTTCCCATGGATATGAATCAGGACCTAAAGTCTTTTTTACACGTTTGATGACGTGCATCACCAGGATCATTTTTAAGCCATTTTAAAAAAAAATTCTGGCTGGGTTTCCCCAGTTTCAGAAGTAGTTTTCTCAACTGTAATGCTGATCACTTTCAAAGTCTTTTTGGTTGCTATCGTTTCTTCAGCATCTATAGTAAAATTCTGCCTCACTACTGCACGTATTGCTTTTTCTCCTTACCCTGTGTCCCTGATGGCTGCCTACATGGCGTGGATGTGGCTTGTCCATCCTTCAATTAGGAATGATTGAATGGAATAGGGAATGCTTTTACAGGGGTGCATAAATGCTGCATCAGCACTTTGTTTGATCTTTTATACAGAAGTTTATTTATAATTCCTCTTTCATCCTGAAGATGAAATTAATTTTAAGCAATCCTGGCAATAGTTTGTTTCTGCAGTATATTTTGCTGGCTCATTAGTACAAGCACTTTAGTAATGAACACTGGTTGCTCTTGTCTAAATAAGTGATGACTGAAGCAAGAATGTTTTTCTGTGTCTTATGCTTCCACTTGCACCTTCCCATCACCTTTCAGAGAACTGTATGCTGTGTAACCATGTGGTAACTATTACCAAAATCCCTTTTATCGTCACATAAATGGCTGGGTAGGTGGGGCTTTAGGAAGAGAATAATGTGTGGGTTGCGGAGACTGGTCACAGGTAGATCTTTAACCTAGGAACTGGGCTTAGGTGCTCTGCAGGAGGTGTCTTCTACTTCTCTAGCGGTATGACTCTTAAGAAACAGACTTTCTCTGTATGCTTCGAAAGTGCAAAAATAATGGCAAGAGTATGGACTGGCTCTTTTTATCTGAAGCTTAACCTTTATTACCAGAGCAAAGGCTGTGCTCTGCTGTCAGGAGCTGTGGCTGAGGCACACCTCTCCCCCCGTGTTGGTTTTAAGGTTAACAGCTGTTGACCGCTCTCCTTACTTAGGTATGACTCACTCTTACCTAATTCATATCCCCAGGAAGGAAAGCTTAGAGATGACTGTGGAAGAAAGAAAATAATTTGATCTTGAAAGGCAAGAGGAAGCTTGGGGAGGCAGGAGTATTTATTCTTATGTATTGAATCTTGCTGCCTAATGAGTGCATAATTTGTTGTGCAGTACATAAGGTCTTACTTATTCTTTGCTGTCTCCAGGTTGGTTGGTTTGTTTGTTTGTTTTCGTATGGAATACTGAACAGATCCAATTGCTGCTGTTAGAAGGAGAAGCCTGTCTACCAAGAGGGGTCTGTAATGTTTTTCCTTTATTTGGAGATTTTTTGAATGCTAAATTGCCTGTGTGTATTCTTCATAATGTACCATATGCAAATATTCTTCAGGAATTGATACTACCACTTCAGACAGTCAATATTTTCTATGTAAGAACTGTACATTTCCTATACTGCCAAGAATGTATATATATCTACGAAGACTTAAGATTGTATCTTTTTGAGCAAGCCTCTTTCTTCAACCATCTGAAACTTTCTTCCTGTTTCTCAAGTTCTCTGCTAATTTATTAGACACTTATGTTACATTGTGTACCTTTTGTATCAGCTGTATCGCTGTATTTCTCCTTTCTCTCATTAAAACCTGTTCTTCTCATCCTTCTACTGTGCTGCTTCCTACTGGAAATACTAACACTGTATCAGGTAACCTGGTCTAGTGTAGCAGGTCTGGCTGAGATGGAGCCAGACCAGTCCTAAACAGTCAGTCATTCAGACTTTTATTATGTTGTTGCACTGATTCCAACATGTAATCAGTTTTACTGCTACTACTAGTCTACTGTATTAAGCTTCTCTAGGGTTATTTTGCAGCATAGTCCATGCTTTTATAAGATAGTGAAGAAGAAGCCCAGAATAGGATACCCATGATACAAAATGGACAAGACACACAAAAAGATGCACTGAGATATAAAGTCCGTAATTCTCATGGATGGTGGTTCCTGCTGACGTATGCTAAGGAACCTGTGGTCTTCCTTAGTGAAGTGAGTTTTAAGGAGAGATTTGGAAGAGGGTGCTCTATTTTTAGAAATGCGGTTTTCCACTTCAGTTGGTTCTCTATGCTATCTCCACTCATCTTCCAGTTAGATGAAGAGGAAAAGAAATGAAAGAAACAGCTGATTTACAAACAAGAAAATGCTGTCTCCCAGGATATTACTCCATAAACAGATAAAGAAAGGATAGTGCTTCTTTCATCCTCCCAGCGAACAGCAAGATTTTCAGAGTTTTGCTGCTGCTAACCCCCATTTAGCAGTGCAGGATCTTTCTTGACCTACAGCCATACTCTCAGCGTTATCTGTTCCACAGCATGGTCTGCAGGAGGAAAGCGTTCAAAGTACTGCATCACCCAAGGTACTGACATGAAGTGAACAGAACATGCACATGCACCTGTGTGTTAAGTGTTTGGCAATTTTTGAGATTGGGAGATCAGCTGGCAAGAGGGAAAATACCAGGAGCATCCACTTTTGGAGAACCTACTGTTTTATCTGTAATTAGACAGTTACTGAAGGATGAAACTAATCACATCTTTAGCACCACCTATATAATTGCAGTAGCGTATATGGAAATAGCTATGCCACCCAGGCTTGGTTTTCTCTCAGACTCTTCATCACCCTCTCCTTCCTTAAGGCTGATTTTGTGCCCCCAGTTGCACCTGCTGATGGTTTCTTGTCATGGTGCTGCAGTGGCAAGGAGCAGAAACACACGTGTAGAATAACCACACTGGCTCTGGCCATGCGTGGCATCAGTTATACTTAGATTCAGGTGCATCTGCATATATTTCCTTCTAAAGCTGCATTTAGGGATGATGCCACGGTGGGAAATATTTAGAGAAATTCTAGTGTAGAGAAGAACCATCACAGGGAATTCCACAGGCCAGTGCAGCCTTTCCAGTTGCTCAGAGAAGCATTTGCAAAAACACCCAGCCTAAAGCTAATCTGTCCTGACTGCAATCAAGAAAGCTTGCCACTGCCTTGGAGGGAAAGCACAGGGTGCCAGTAATTAATGCATTTGAAAACACTACTGTTAATTACCTGTCATATTTAATCCCTGACTTATCTACTGCTCCAGTAATTGTTTTGTGTACACATGAAGTGAAAAGCTTTCTTCAGAGAAGAATGGACTACAAATATAATATGGGCTGTTTTCTGCTGTTGTTCAATATAAATGAAATAAATTGCTTTGTTAAGAAGAAATAGAAGAAAGCAACAGACTTTCCGTGGCCTCTCAAAGCTAACTAAGAGCAGCTCAGCGAAAGACCGCACGCTTCATTTTGGGCTATCTCCTGTCTTGTTCTTTTCTGTCCCTACTGTCATCTACTTCTAAGCTATTAACAGTAGTTTAATAGATGATCATCATCATCGTCACACCCTGCAAGATGTATTGGTTAAATCAGCAATAGAATGCAGTGGCCTTTGCATTCACAGCAGGCACTCAGAAGTTCAGGTTTGATTACTGGTTTGCAGCAGCACTAAATTACAAATAATGATATGGTTCCCAAGAGCTATGTAATAAATACATTGCCAGAGTTGCAATTATTTCCCCTTTCTGCCTGTCTTTGCTTCTGCTCTGGAAACTTCTACGTGAGAGCTAACTGTTGCAGCATGGGCTTTAGCTCCTGGGACTGCTCCCTCCATGAGCTGCATCCAAAGCGTGCAGCTGTGAAGTATTTGACCATCTGCTGCTGTTTCTCCAGGTTATGCTTCTAAAGCTTCCCTGCAGCTATTTATTAATTAAATGAAGAAGCTAGTTGCCAGGAAACATGTGACTAAAGTAACTGGTCCTTTAATTGCAATTAAATTTTTATGGATAGTGCCAAAACGTAAATATAACAGCCCATAAAACAAGTTAAGTCTTAGTCAGACACACACGAAAGAAATGGGGGATGTGCCCAGGACCTTCACCTCTGCTTTCATATTTCCTCTTTGCCGGTAACTGGCAGGATTGGCTCAAAATGCTTCTGTTGCTCAGCAGTTACACAGTCCTAACTGCTGAATAGGACAGGAAGAAACATACAGGATGGACAACTTGTAAGCACAGCAAAAAGGTGCAAATGCTTTGATATTGAGACTGCTGTACTTGCTGCTTGGAGTCACAGTGCTTTATACTTAAGGAACTGAACCAGAAGCCAAAGGTCTCAGAATGAAGTGATTAAAAACCTTGATGACAGAAAGTTAAATACCTGAACTTGAAATTACTTGGAAGACAATAACCCATGTGATAATCACTCCTTGTTTTAGCTATTTGTTTTTGAAGGTCTTTAGTTGACTTGCTGTACCCATTGAAAATATAGTTGGCAAAGAGTAGCTTTCCTTGAATGTACAACTGCCAAAGAAGAGAACAAAAAATAAAATGCAGCATTGGCAAGAGCAACCTCTTATTTTAATTGAAGATGATAGGTTGAGAAACGAAAGAAGGTTGTTAGGTAGCTTGACTTAAAACTTTACTATAGCTTACAGCTTTCACCTTTCATGACTTTGTTATATAAAATATTTTATTTCATTCAAGAAATTAAAAAATAAAACTAATATTTTTCTAGTCCCTCCAAGATTTCAAAACACAGCATACTGGAGTGTCTAAAACAACGTTTTGCATGCTGCTTCATGGACTACCAAAACCCACCACCGTCCATCAAGGTAATATTTCAGTTTAGGTATGGCTTCAAATATGGCATATTTGAAGATGAACACAAATATGGTAGGCATAGGATAGAACAGTTATTTCTTTAGGTTTTCTTTCTTTTGCATATGTTAACCAAATGTTTTTCTTTGATTGGTTTGGTTTGTTTTTTACTAAGGAGTAGAACTGGGATATCCTACATCTAAATTTAATAAGTGGCAATGAACTTTCCTTTAAATACTGCAACTCATTGGAAACAGAAGAACAGAAGAAAGGTGACCAAGTGATTTGATAGTGATTGTAAACCACGTGAATTAAATACCCTTGATGTTCAAAGACATAAGGGTTCAAATTGTGGGCAAAATCTGAAACATTAGCAATTTTCATTCCCTGGAAAATTAAATCAGGAGACTAAAGCTAATTCAGAGCTGTTCAGAAAGATACAGAAACATTTTCCAACTATTTCCACAGTTTCGAACTTGCTTTTGATTCTGAAGTACATTTCATGATGTCTCAATCATTTGCTTATTTCCTGAAGCTTGCATTTGTATACGACTATCTTATCATGACATCCTCAACAAAACAGATGAGTTAAAAGCCAAATTCTGTTTTGTGCTAGAGCTTGGAATTCTTAAATAAAGCAGATAAATGAAGCATGTTGTAGTAAGATCTCATCAACTGAAAGGAGGCGGCCTTCTGGATTTTTAGAGTATTTCTCTTGGTTTTGGATCAGTTTGTTAGGTTGGACCTTTTGGCTTTTCTGTCCCCAGACTCAAGATTACCAGAGTAAGTTCAAGAAAAGATAAATACTTTTTCAACATGTTGCAAAGACTGTTCCAAACAGATATAACATATGGATGATCTCAGACTTGGGGCTTGAAGAAAAGCCTGATGAAATATTAGATATAAAAAGGATGAAGGTGAGAGCATCAGCCTTTTCTCAGTCAGTAAATAGTGACATGGTTGGTCCAAATTCTCACTGACATGAAGGCCCGTGTCATTTCTGGCAGTGTAAAGGAAACTTTGTTTAAGTGAAAATTGGCTTCATTGAATTTAAAACTGAAAACAACATTTATACTGATGTACTGTCCAAAGCTGCTGATGTTGTGGATGTTCCCAATGTTACACAATTGGAAACATTTGGCTTATTTCGTGGAAGCTCTCAGCATGCAGGACTCCAAGTTAAGACTCTCTGAATACTTCAGGGTAATGCACATTCAAGTAACAATGGATGTATTCACTAGAAGGGAATCCAGAGGAGCACTGAATTGTCTTCATCTTATGCTCACACCAATACAACCAGTAATGAACATGATGCAGAACACTCTTTCGCTTATGGGTTATGGAGAGAGAAAAAAACATGTTATCATCATGCTCTGAGCAGTGGCAGCATCATAACTAAGGGAATCCTGTAAGCTCTCCTTGGGGTACAGTTTTGAGTTTATGTCAGCAGGTGGAAATAATCACAGTATCACAGAATGATTTAGGTTTGGAAGGGACCTCTGGAGATCATCTAGTCCAACCCCCCCTGCCAAAGCAGGTCCACCTACAGCAGATTGCACAGCAACATTTGGCATCAGCTGCTGATTCTCTGGCTGTATGTACCCCTTTACATCTGTGTGGCTTCCTCTTGAGGCAAACTCTTTGCATTCATTTGTTCTGACTTTCCTGACTTTCTCTTGATTTTCCTATTCCCTTTTCAGTTTCTTCCTTGTACTTCATTTGTACCTATGTTCCTTTCCCTACTTCTTACTTTTTTCATAATCAATGCCTCATCTTGCTTCCCATAACCTCCCCTTCCATATCATATTTCTCATTACACAGATCCTTCTGATCTGATGTCCAGTTCCTCATACTTCTCCTCTGTTCCCCCTGTTATCATTCTCCCTCAATTTTGCATGTTCTTTTCTTGCCTGTGGTGGGGGCACAGAGAACAAAAGAAGAAACCTCCAGCCACCTCCAGTCTGGCTTATTGCCCCTGCTCCATATCC